TTGTCGGTGTGAATCAAGGAATCTCTGTCAGGTCGGATGTTCGGAACTCCGACATCCACGGCTCCAGTAATAGGCCAGGAATTTGTCATCTACTTCCCTTTGCTAGTTTTGGTAAGTCTGTAAGTATCGATTATACCGCTATGATGATTGATCGGTAGGTCTTTTCACTACTCCAGCTCACTAACACGTACCATCGCCTCGTTCGAGCTCTTGGTCTGTCGTCAACATTCGAATTTGAAGGCAGTGGTCTTCGTGCAGATGCGCCGACAGTGGAGGAGGTATTTATACTCTTATATATAGACAGATCGGATTGCCCTTTGTTAGGGCCGTAAATTGTTACGACGCGAGCGGCTTCGTCGAAGGAATCAGACGGATCTTGAATCTGGCCGACCCTCTCAATACAGTATGGTGGCCTTCCACAGAGGAGTCTCGGAGCTTCGTGACTACGAGCCGACTCAGGAGGATCTCCACGTCGTCGTTGCTGACCGGTGAGCCGATCATGACTCTCTCATATTTCACCCTATGACATCCGGTTTATGTTCCTGCTGTTCTCGGGCAGGTCGCCTAGTGAGGGAACGCCGTTGGTCGCCATACAGAGAGAGAACAGCAGGGAAGAAGATCCGGACTGGCTTTTGGCCGATCGTGATATGGCAGACATCCCTCGGGAGCTCCCATGATCGTTGGGGATACTATTACTTCCTGTTACAGTTCAGAGGTCGACACTATTTTCGGTATATTTTGGGTTTCTCGAGTTTGCTCTCGTGAGCCAACGCCGAGTTTTGAGTCTTGCAATCGGTTCAAGCCTTAGGTCTAGTTTTCCGTAGTAGATGCTCATTGCTGTGATCAGTTCGCGTTGATGCAGATTTGACTTTCCCTCTGGTGGCCTTCCTGTGGGTTTGTGACAATAATGCCTCGTCGACCGGCTGTTGCCGAGCTGGATGATTGCCCAATGAATGAATCCTTGTCAGCGACTTGGCGTGTGTAACAATCTTAGGCATGCAGTCAATAGCTCGGATGTAGATCGTTGTCAGAGACTCTGAAGGTGTTATGCACCATGAAGCCACTGGTTTGTGTATCGGCGCTTGTGGATTGGCCAACCCCTCTCACTCGTTCATTGTGGATCCGAGAGATATAGAGGTATGTGGTCAGATGCCCGGGTTGTACCCTGTGAGTAGCTGCTTGCAGATAGATGATTCTGAGAAGCCTCTGGGAAGGGGGACATCTGGCATCGTGATAAAAGGCGTCCATAAGTCATCAGGTGCGACTCCGTCACGTGGTTCCCACTCGCCCTAGTTTTTTGTCTAAGGCCTTTTACTAGCGATCAAGAGTGTCAGAACGGAAGATAAGGAACGGAGGGATCAAGTTATGAATGACTTGAGGGTTTGTCGACTGGTTCTGGTTGGGAAGGGTAGTCTTGGAAGTCAGGGTCTTCTCCGAGCTCAGAGTTGTGAATATCTTGTCCGTTTGTATGCAGCCTATTCTACACCTAACAGTGCTTTTGTGAGTGTTGTCACTCGCGTGGCCACAACTGTGTGTTACATCTGGATCCAGGTTAACATCGCGATGGAGCTCATGGATAGGGGATCTCTGAGAGATGTTACTAAACACGTCCCTAATAGAACATGGCCTGAAACTAAGGCCACGCTAGTTATTTGGCAAATCATCCAGGCTCTGAAGTAGAATATCTCATAGCCCAACTCTACTTATCATCATTTACTATGTTGTTGGTAGTAGATTCCTTCATTCCAACCATTCATTGCATCGCGATATTAAGCCGGAGAATATACTACTATGCTCTGATGGACATGTATTTTCAGTCCCCAGACTCCGAGCCCCATGTCTTGTCTTCGAATGTTAGGTGAAGTTGGCAGATTTTGGTATTTCGAAGGATCTTAGCTCGACCTATGGAATCTGTTCTACATTCGTCGGTAGGTCGCAGTTAGTTGGATGGGAGCATTCCATGGCTTTCAAGGAACTGCACTTTACATGTCACCAGAGAGGGCCGCGGGGGAGGAGTACACTTACTCCGCAGATATTTGGTATTATGAGGGCTGATATTTGCGAGTTATCATGGGAATAATCAGGTCCCTTGGGGTCGTGGCCTTCGAGCTGTTGACCGGAACTAATCCATTCTCAATTAGTCGTGGCTTCATAGATCTCTATGACTCATTATGCCATAGACCCGAGCCTCGATTAAATAAGAGCAGGTGATTCATTAGTCTTCCTCTCGTAGTCTCTATGGAAGTATCAAAGCGTGTAGCGCAGCCACATGAGATGAGCTTCATCAATGCGTTTCATGGTTTCTCTAGAGTTTGTGCATGGCTTTCAGATTTACCTCCGGTGCTTGTGGGTTCGTGACACACACGTTGGCGAGGGATCCCTTACAACGTCCATCTGCAAGCGAACTATTACGTAACGAGTGGCTGGCTCCTGTGGTCTCGGTGAGTCGCGTGCTCATTCATGACACCAAGTCCATCAGGCCTCGAGCCTTTTAGGCTGGTGCTCAGGAGTGTTCTGATGAGCTTGCAGCTTGGTTGTCCACATTGAAGTAGATATTAACTCTCGCATATCGACTAAGGCAGAACACTTGGGAACTTATCTTGTCACTTTTCGCCGTGCGGAAATCTATTCACTCCAACTGGTCATTACGCAATTTCATGTCCAACATCAATATGAGAAGCATTCGCTATCCTTGATAATTCCGTTGTAATTAAACGGTTCGGGAAGCAGTGCGCCTCGGTGTTTCAAAGCCCGGAGTTCAACTTGTTTGATCTCGTCTCACTATCCTCTTGCTTGAAAAAGAGGAATCAGCTTCGCTCGAATATGTGTGATGTCTCGCCAACTTACTACTGATATTCACGTTGGATGTCACTAACGATAATTTGCGAATGCGAAGGGCATTTTGAGTTTTGTTATTGGAAAGAACAACTGTACAACCTGATGCTTGTCAGCTTGTGGGTTTCTTGTTTTCGTAATGTATGCTATGCCCAGCTACTCCCTCCCGGAGATTTCTAGAGTAGTCTAAGCCAATCCACTCCCTATCCGGTCCAGGGCATTTGAGAGCGATAGTCATCTTTGTCTTCGCTTGCCAATATCTCTTCGTGTCTCTAAAGTTCTCCTAGCTATGGAAATAGGTCTAGCATCAGAGAGCCTGGTCGATCCTACTTCGCGGAGGATGGGGAAGGTTGGCTCAGAAAGGGGACCCCGTTGAATGCTATGGGGAGTCGGCGCATGCCCTGTCAGCTGATGCAACTGAGAGTGATGATGAAGACGGCTTCCCAGGGAGTGTGTCATTCTAGAACGATAAATTTGTCGGACATCGCTCTGTGTCTCGGATTAGTTGTGACCAGGAGATTTTGATGCGGTGTGAGGTAATTTATCTCAGGTAAACCGCCTTTATCTTAAGAGATGATAACGATTCTGGTTTTTCATCATGTGATGGAATCAGCTTTTGTCATTGGTAGCTATTGCTAGTCGTTGGTAAAGGATACTTCGTACTGCAAGGTTCACCTGCCGGACCTGTGGCTTCATTGTGTGATGTTAATGGTCTCCAAGTTGTCCCTACGTCTCGTTGCGTTAAGGTCTGTCTGATGCTAACTGTCCTCAATCGCGGGGCCTACTCTAGCCCATTGGAAGAGATAAATAGGGTCAATTTCGGTCTACAGCCTTTGAGTAAGTCTTCCTACTTTAGTTGGGAAGGTATCATCCAGCGAAATGCACCGATGGTTCGCAGCACAGGATGATAAAGAAGCTCTACCTCAATCTGCGGATACATGCAGTGGGCCTATAATAAAGTGGGATGTGGGAAGTCGGATAAACTGATGATTTGGGAGTATCACCTTTGCTTATCAGGTCCTTTTTCGTGTACAGCCCTGTGCTCAAGGTGCAGGACAGGACACCGGAGAGTTTGGCTTCGGCAGAGGATGAGGATACCCGCGAAGCTCAAGCGAAGCAGATCTACTACTAGTGAGTTGGTGATCCATGGTCCAACCAATTGAGAATATCGTCTTAGTCCGTCGTCCAAGCATTCACCCATTGAACAACGAACCCAAGCATCCTTGATAGAGGGTGTAGTCCACTTTGCACAGGCCTTCCGGAGGGAGGGGGATTGTGACGATGATGTAAATCTTATCACCACTAGGGACCTGGCGCTTGGTGTTAAGCAGGTCAGCATTCTCTGTTTGCCAGGATCGACCTATTATCCAAAATCCTCAGGTTGAAAAGGACATCTGGTTCACCTTGGTTGTTCAGCGGGAACCCTTGGGAGGATCGAGCACCGGTGAGTGTACTACAAGCTCCATCTTATCGATATCGAGGGATTGTTAGGGCAGTCTATCCCATCTTCACCTGAGTCCGCTCCTAGCTCTGAGAATCAGCGGCAGCAGGAGACACGTTCTATCTCACCATTAGAGAGCGACGAGGATCCACATCTATCTGGACCCCTCCTTGAGGCAGTCCTGTCGAACATGCATGAGATGTTCACCTTGTTGCATGGGCCAATTCGAAAGTGCTGTGTACTATTTGGATGGCCGCCATGATGCCTGTATCGTCATAGGTTTTTGGAGATTGAGGACGACAGGGCCAACATGATCAATAAGCTCGGCAGTCTCTTGCACAGCTTTGTGCCATCGTAAGAAGGAGCTCCTTCATGTCAGACGTCGATGATTAAATGGAGGCAGGTACATTGAGGTTTTGGGATACGGACCTTTGGGGCTTTTCACAGAACTCACCGGCTTTAGCTATGGTATGTAGTATGCATTCGAAGATTCGGGAAGTTGAGCTAGCTCTTCAGCACCAGTCGAGCGGAACACATTGGTTTTAATACAAGCTGCGCTACTTTCTTTGCAGGAGAAGCACTCAGATATCAAGGCGTCGGCGGTAATAGAATTCGAATGTCCGTCGCTGGGTCGCCGTGAACCTGTATGCTGCAGGTTTTGTTCGACGCCCATCTCCTACACTCCTCCATACCATTAGAAGACATGAAGATTCTCTACTCGTACATCGTCTCTACGAGTATAATTGGGTGAGCTCAATCTCGAAGTACTGCTATGACTTGCAGTGCTCATTTTATCAGCTTTCGCTCGGACACCCCGACGAGCATGGTTTCGTCGATGAAGTTGTGTGAGCCGCCGTATAACGGAATTGCGGAGAACGCTGCATCGTTTTGTCGTACGAACCACGTAACAGAGGATATGGCAGAGGGCGAAGCGGGAATGTGAGAATGCACCCTCTCGTAGTAGCTGCAAGGAAAGCGTCAGATTCCTCTTTGGACCCGGAGCCAGCTCAACTGACCATGGCGTCACGCCTATAGTGCATTTACCATCGCTTGGGAAAGGCAGGCTCGTGGCGCTTCTTTATCACGGTCTCATGTTCGTCTTCATTATTGACGTTGTTCAGAAGGTACCATGCTTGTCGATGTGACCAATTCTCATTGTGAATTCCTATAGGAAACGGATTCTGAGCTTTTCGCTTCGCTGCAGCGATGGGTCGCAGAGTCCAAAAGCGTTAGTCAAGTTGCTCAACTTGTACGACAGCAATTTAGTCAAGCTATGAGTTTGACGGATGAATACAAGTAATGCATCACGCAGGCTGGATCCTGAATACCTAAGGATTTGTACAGGTTCGCGTATGCGAACAATGTGAACCGTGCTTTGCGGGTTTCTAATGACGGTTCCTCTTCGCTCAACGACGAAGCCCCTATGGCGCTCATAGGGAACGAGTCTAGTCCGGAGGACCTAGTGCTCTTCAGTACTTTGCGACAAGTTTTGGTGAGAACGCTGATTATAGGATTCACCGAGTAGCTACTCTTACTCCACAGGTGCACGGGGAAGAGTATCTGGATGCTGCTGGCCTTCCTAAAGGCAGTCGATGCCGTGAGATCTGCTACAAATCACCTGGGAACGTGAGAGGAACTTAGTGCTTACTGTGGACTACTCTCTATCTCAGGGCTGGGCTTGTGCGAAGGTCTCGCCGTTGAACCGTGAGTTCTATCTTCTGCTCGCGAAGCCCGCAATGCCGTTGGTGCGATGTCAAGAGGAGTGCGAACGCTTCGCTCGGATGCATCTCTCCAACATATTCACTATGTGAGGCACTGCACTTTGTACGAACAACTGTTGGTTTCATAACTTGGATTTTAGTGTTCAGTCTTCATACTTTTATGACCTTTACTAGCTCCCTGGGAACAGATGTGGGTTCTCCATGGCGTGATTAGTGTCATTTCGACCTCTCACGGGTTTCGGGTTTCAGAGGCATTGGCCATCGGGTCTCGGGTTTCAGAGGCATTGGCCATTGGGGGATTAGCAGCTTCCTTGGGAGGTCCTCAGAGAATTCGTGTTGTATCAGTTCTGACTTTATTCAAAGTGATTCCCTCAATTTCTGTGATCACTTGCCCTGTGGCGCCCAATGACTGACCGTCTGACTATCTATTTGTCATCTCTTGATCGGCTAAAGCCAGCCATACCGGAAGTCCTCCAGCACAACGTGTGGCAATACCTCCGAGAGGCAGGCACAGTTCGGTTACTCAGTGAAACAATAGAGCCACCACGTAGGCTTGAAGTGTCTGCTCAAGCTGGCTTTTGGATCAAGCACTTTTGCGTGGATGATAGGGACATGTCCGTTCTCTTGACCTTCCGGGATGGTGCCGGCCAAAGCGGAGTCCTCTACAAGTATAGAGAAGGCGAAGGCCTCGAAAGGGTTAGCAGCGAGCCAGTCGATGCGTTCTGTGTCAACTCGGTTCGGGGATGCGTCTATGCATTTAGAGATCAGCAGCTTTTGCGCATACGCCACAGAGCCCCTCCATATAAGGTCGACCATATGTGGACATTATCGCCGGATTGGTCGCCACCAGACTATATGGTGAGTCGAGGAAATCATATTGTGTTCGGCTCTTCACGCTGGGAGGCTCCCATGCACAGCTATGGTATAACAGTGTTAACCTTGGTTGGATCGGTGGTGCGAGTATCGTCTCTCGACCTCTGCGGCGATGCAAAAGAATCTATGAAGTTCAGGCGCATGCTGGTAGACGCATTCGTGGACTCGAATGGGGAGCTTTGCATCTTGGTCTGCATTGGGGAGACTCTACTATACCGATCGTTATCTAGTGATACATGGATGTCTATGAAGATGCGTGGCCAAGTACGACAAATGGCGATGGTGCAGAGCTCAATGATAGAGGATCATTTTAAAGAGAGGGAAGAGACAGCTCCTCCGTTGCTGGCCATCGTGCGTCATAGTTCACACAATCATACCTCTGATTCTGAAGTGTTCTATCTTGCAAGGTTGGAGATAGTTGACTTGAATAGAGGCGAAGTAGTGGTATCGGTTGCATGGTTGCAAACGCCTTGGTGTCCTAATCTGGCTTATGTGGAGCACACGATATACTTCCAAGCATGTGGCCCTGCAATCGATAAAGTAGATGCATGTCTCGTCTATGACGCGCCTTTCAGCAAATGCAAAAATATGCGCAAATTCAGTTGAGGTTGTCTCTCGGATATTTTTGTCATACGTGACGCTCCACCGCCGCCGATCGGTAGCGGCTGATGCGTCGTGCAGAGCGCTGTACTGCATGATGGGATCAATGACCATTCTGTCTATTGCCTTATCATCGGGAAACCAAACTTGATGCATTGCATTCCCTCGTCAACTGACTGTATTGTTTCATTCGGGATAGAGAGGAGATCGATTGTGTATAGTTTGTTTCCTGTTGCCTCTGCAGTGATGCCCTCCAACAAGCATCACAACAATAAGCCTTGCCGCAACTGGGAAGAGACTGTAATGTCGGGATCGTTGGCTCAGCTTATTGAATCGTGTGCAAGAGTTTTTCTACAGGGGACTTGTCGGTACGGAGACTCCTGTAAATTCGTTCATGCCCAGCGGCGAGGAGTTTCATCATCTAATCCATTTGGAGGTTGGTCATACGATAGGACGGCTCACTTCACTAGGCTTCCCTCACAGGTGGCACAGTGTCTGCTTCGCCATTCGGTGGCAGCGGCGCAGGTGGGCAAGTGTCTGGGAACCCTTTCGGAGCTACAGCCACACCGGCACCAACTCCCTTTGGTGCTGGCAACGTCACGGCACCAACTCCCTTTGGTGCTGGCAACGTCACGGCACCAACTCCTTTTGGTAGTGGTAACGTCGCGGCGACGACTCCCTTTGGTGTTGGCAACATCACATCGTCGTCGCCGACTCCTCCTACATTCGGCGGCACACCAGGTGGTGGGTCTGGACCGTTCGGGAGCTCGAAGCCTGTAACATTTGGGGCGGCCGCCTTTGGAAGCTCACAACCATCGGGGTTTGGTAACGCAATAGGGACGAAGCCAAGTCCCTTTGGGAGTACTACATCGGGTGTATCCCCGAGTCCTTTCGGTGGTGGTGCAGCAACCCAACCGTCACCATTCGGCCAATCCAGTCCGCCTTCGCAATTGAGCAACGCGAACCCCTCTGCTTCAACTCTTGGGAATGCCACTGCACCTGCCACAACCATAGTGCCTCCATCGGGCATTTTGCCTGCCGCTACTGTTGTTGGGACTTTGGTACCGGACGAGAGCAACCGGAAAATGAGAGAAGTAAGTGAATGTATTCCATGGTTGTATCAAGTAAGCTCCTTGGTGCTCCTCAGAACATCGCAACCGCGTTGAACAAGGGCGAGCTTTACCCTTTGTCTTCTTTTGGACCGGATGGTCAGGGCAACCTGACGCCGCCTGGCATCGACGTCAGCTTCGAAGAGCTCCGGTATGAGGACCCTCAGAACCAGCATTTACGAGAAACTATCGCCAAGACGGAAGCAAGTCTCGAGAAGATTATTTCTAAGCCCACTCTGTCGAAATACTTTGGTATTGAGGGAACGGCGAAATCGGTATCGCCTTTCAGCGGAAATGCTGTCGCTCCCTCACCGTTTGGAGGAGCATCTGCCCAAAGTAAATCATCGCCCTTCGGTCCTGCAGCGGGGCCGAAGCCCTCGCCATTTGGTGCAACACCAGCAGCTACCTCAACAACATCCCCGTTTGGTGGATTCGGAAGCAGTCAATCCTCTGCAACGGGCTCTTTCGGAGGGTTCGGTAACGCCTTCGGTGGCCAGCCATCGTCATTCGGTGCCACTAGTGGGCCCTTCGGTGCTACTCAACAGTCCTCGCTTCTTCCTACTTTGTCATGGCCGGACAACCTGGTGGTTCGACCTGGGATTCCTCCGAACAAGATGCCATCATGGATTTCCCGAACACCTTTAAATCTACTGCCTGAGATCAAACCGTCGAAGGGGCTATCGGAGGAAGATATCGAACGTTACAAGAATGCGGAATTCTCTTTGGATGCATTTCCGTCTCTGCCCCCTACCATTGAGCTACTCACGTGATACTATTTTATGTGTTTTGCGTCTTCTTCAATTGATCAATGAAATCCTGGGCAACTATTCATCTCATTGAAAATGAATTCAACAATCAATGTGAAAATTGAAACGTCTCTAGAACAGTGGTCTTTGCCACTGTTCAATCAGTGGTTGAAGTAGGAACTGTAGTCGATTCAGTCGATGGTGACCAAGTGCTTGGGGACTCAGTGGTCGATGGACTCAGAGTAGTAGTGGTAGATGTAACACTAACAGTTGATATACAAGGACATTCACAAGGAACATTGAGCTGCTCAGGATCAGTAGAGCCTGGAGGACCCTGGCAATAGGCTTCATTGGTCAGCCAGTATTTACAGAAAGAATTGCTGAAGTCACCGCCCTTAACGGTTTGGCTGCGACAGAAATCGTCTCCTTGTGGGCAAGGTGACTGAGTTGTAGTAACAACCGGATATTGTGGATAGTTAGGATCAGTATTGGGATCGTACGGAGCATTAGTAGTTCCCCCAGAACCCAGAGGCTCTGGTCCGCTCGCTTCCAAGTCGGAGCTACAACCACTCAACCAGAGGCCCAAGATGGAGAGGACAACCGCAGTGGCAGATCGTATCATATTGCTCAAAGACAAAATGTCGGAAAAATTACTGTATTTTCAGATAAAAACCCTAAGCTAGCTCGGATAGCTTTTTTGTGTGACCTTGCGCCCGCTGTCTCTTCTGAATAGTGTCCTCAGTAAACGATGCCTGCGTGTATCCGTTCCGTTTATCTGTTATCTCGTGTATATCCAACATCAAAGATCATCATGGTCTCCGACAAATGATTGGAGGATTGGTCAGTGACTCCCGGTGATTGCAGATTGCACGCAAGTACACGGATTCATGTAGACTCTTGTAACACGTTCGTAATTCGAAATTCGCTGCGATAGTGGTTCTATTCACATTCTATGAGCCTTCTAATTTGGTTGGTCCATACTTCTCATGTAACAGTTCGCCGAACTGAGTTCGACCTTCCAAATCGTTGAGAGATGAGGTGTATGCAGTTGTCGGGCGCGGTCAATCGTCACAATTTGAACTCCACGAATCTTTCGAGTCCTGTTCAGTATCGAAAATTCATGTTATGAATGGCATCATCAGTAGAGGTCCACTTTCTCAACTACATCCTTGGACTGAGTCACATTCAGCTTCCAATAGCTTCACGGATCGATACGGTCCCTGCCTTACACGAGGAGCTGCGAAAGTGAACCTCCACGACTACGAATCGAGTCAGCTGGCCCAACCGGTGGTGACAAGTGTTCAAGGCTCAGATGTGGATGATCTCGCCGACTCCGTTGCTCGGGTGCAGCTGAGGGATAACGATTGGGTTATTGGTTGGATTCTGGCGGTAGACCCTACATCAGTTCTTGGATCGGCCAAGTACTCATATGGCCTGCGTGCTTCCTGTGTCATTCACGGTTATTGTCGGCCCTTGTTGATTGAGATCCCTCGAAGTCGTCGCAACGGCTTGGATGATTTGATCGGAATACCTCTGGCGGTCTTGCGGCAGGAAATGGACTGCAGCGAAGAGAATGTGGACCAGCTGGGCATGTTCTTGCGGTTCATCGTAACACAACTTGTAGGCGTGGGTGTGAGGCTGAGCAGGAAGTTGAGATGGTCCCACACTGATCGAGTAGCGTTCGAGAGGCTCGATGTTCTACTCAAGTGAAATCTATCGGAATTTTCCTGAACTGCTCCTCATGCACAGGTACACGCCTCTCTTGAATCTTTTTCGGGGGTATCTGGTAAGTGCAACATCTCGCGGCAAGTGTTCAACCCATCGTTGCAATGATCCAGAGGAAGGGACGGTCATAGCCGAGATGGGAGACGACGAGGAGGAGGTCCATGCATGTGAGCTAGTTGATCTTCCTTGATAAGTTTCCATCAATAATTCTCTCGAGTTAGTCGTCATCTTCTACATGCATCGTGATTGGGTAAACTGAATTTGATTTATGGTGCTCAACGTCAGAGCGGCCGGGTGTCCATCCAGTGGATATGAGGACCGTGGCATCGACGGTGTCGAGGGTACCTTAGTTCGAGCGCGGGACCTTGCGGGCATCGGCCTACAATCGGAGAGTTTAATGCAGTATGATCATGTAGCGGAGTTTGCCCAATTGTACGGGAAGCTGCTGTGGGATGGATGGAGCTCAGGCGTTGGCAACAATCAATCGACATATCAAGACGTTGCCTGTGGGTTACACCGATGAGTGGCTTGCAATAAAAGCAGAGATCTCGGAAGAGGTTGCCGTGGTTAAAGCGATTGCCGCGGAGTGGTACTAGATCGCTGGAGTCTCAGAGTCATGCATGTGATGCCGTCTAGGTCGGAGATAAGGCGAGCTTGTGCTTCGAGGCCACCTGGAGCTCCACCCCAGCCGCATGTACTCGCGGATGATGAGGAGGTATGGTCTCGACTAACAGAAGTGGAATGAACATGTCCTGTAGAGATCGGTCGGGTCCAGGGATGGAGCGACATGGAGCCCACCACCTCCCCTGCCAAGGAGGGTTCGGGGAGGGGGTGGCGGCTGGCGTGGTCAGGGACCTCGAGACTTGGTAACTAAGGAAGGCGTGGGGGCTGTTGATATCGGCATTGATCTAAGTCCTCTACTATAAAATATGTGTTTGTGCGAGTTGATTGTTCGAAATCGATGGAGTAAGATGATGTAACGTGCTGGTCAGGCATCAGCATCATCACGCAAAGCGCAAGTACCTGAGAGGAGACGCCGACAGCAGCCACACACGTCAATCACGCGGAGTACCTCAGTATAATTTGGCTCATGCCAGATGAGCGTCGGTTTAGATGGATCAGTGGATGCTAGCCCTATAGCAGAAGGTCGGGACGCCAGTCGTGGAAACAGCTCGAGGAACTACAGCAAGCCTTGGTTGCAGCCTCTTCCTCCACAGGTCGTATGAACTAGCACATTATGTTTGTTCTTGCCAAGGACATTGGCTTCGGATTGTAGGCTCATGAGAATGCATCAAATGGAGGCACCAGCGACAACGGTGGAGGGATATGGAGCGCCTGTGAACGGCGGGGGTTCCTCGAGCATGTCTACGGCCCTAGTGGTGAAGGCCCAGATGCTGACCTCATCATGATGCTCGAACGAGACTGCGTCGAGAAGAATCCTCAGGTATAACGGCCGATTTATGGAGTTTGAGTACGCATGAACAGGTCGGATGGAGCTCGATATCCGGTCTAGAGTCTGCGCGGCAACTCCTCGAAGAGGCAGTTGTGCTACCGTTATTGATGCCGGAGTATTTCCAAGTAAATGAGTACCTCATCCATGCGTAAACAGCAGGCGGCTGTAGGGTATCCGGCGGCCGTGGAAAGGCGTTCTATTATTCGGCCCACCTGGCACTGGTAAAACGATGTTAGCGAAAGCGGTAGCCACTGAGTGCGGTAATAAGGGATTTCTCGGCCATGGGGGTCAACCATGCCTGGCTAGATACTACCTTCTTCAATGTAAGCTGCAGCACAGTCACCAATAAATACCGCGGGGACTCGGAGAAGCTCATACGGGTCTGTGGTACTCGTAGGTATCATTGTTGTGATATCCGATCGATCAGTTACTCTTCGAGATGGCTAGATTCTATGCCCCGACTACAATTTTCTTTGATGAAATCGATTCTATAGGTAGCAAACGTGGGTAAGTGAGAGATCTCGTTCTTGGCCTTGATATTGGTTGGGCGTGCGAACCAGAGACCCTGGGGAGCACGAGGCTTCGCGGCGGGTGAAGAGCGAGCTGCTGGTACAGATGGATGGTGTTTCGAGTACTGATCCTATTCAACCAAAACAGCAGCAGCAGCCACGAGATCATCATCATGAGGAAGGTACTCACTTCTGCCGGGTGATGATCCTAATTTGGTGTTCCTCTTCTCCAGGGCAAGATCCATCGTCTGAGTCGGGGTCTGCGGAAGATGGAGCGTCCCCGCCTAAAACTGTCATGGTAGTTAGGCGAGTTCGTGTCGCAATTCGTTGATAGAACATGGTACTGAGGCATAGATTTGGAGAGCTGCTCGAGGATCTTCTCCTGTCGCAAGGCAGATCGTAGGAATTCGCCTGGGAAATTGTAGTCGTATGCATGTCGGAGTTTCGTACATCCCGCGCGGTGCTTGTGGTGTTCTCTCTGTACTGATATTGAACAGGTACTAGGCGCGACAAATCACCCCTGGGAAATCGACGAGGCCCTTCGACGACGACTTGAGAAACGTATATATATCCCCCTGCCTGACGAGGAGGCGAGGCTTGGCATGTTCAAGGTGGTGGAATCGACACATTGGTGGTTTATCTTCGCTAAGTGTATCAGGTGAATTGTTCCAGTATAAAGCTCGCTAGTGACGTGGATTTCCGACGGCTCGTCAAACGAACGGAGGGGTGAGCAACACTTGGGTAGTCGTGCTTGCAGCCAACAGTCATAGAGCAGGTACTCTGGTGCTGACATCTGTAGTGTTTGCAGAGAGGCTTCTATGATGAACCTGAGGGATAGATTGAGGAAGGCTCGGACAAAGGGAGTAGTGACATGGTAGCGAGGTCACCATAGGGATTCGGTTGGGTAGGCGACCAAAGGTGGGCTTGATGTCGATCGATTACGAGCTGAGGTTGAAGGACGACCCGTCACTATGGGTAACTTTGAGCAAGCGGTGAAGAACGTACAGAAGTCGGTCGGCACCGAGGACTTGAGAAAGTACCGACTCTCTCGAATACATGAGAGAGTTGTTGTTTCGAATACCTCAGATTTGAGGACTGGATGCGCGAGTTCGGATCGTCATAACGCAGCACCGGAAGATTGTAGTATTAAAGCTGTCATACTTGTACATGCTTCGCGGCAATATCAATTTCATCCTTATGCCGCCGAATTGAGGTATCACCTTCGTGGCCGTGTTGGGTTATTCTTGTCCACAGTCGTTGAGTGTTAGTTATTTGACTATTATGACTATGCATCCACTCACCAGCGGACTGCGGGATTACGTCACAGCAGCCGATCATACCAGGTGGCGAATCAATCGCTTCAGAAATGTGCCATAAGAGAGTTTTGGTAGATATGACGGTTTGGCAAACGGGTTCATACGAGTCGACGTTACCCACAGCAACTTACAGGCTCGAGTACATGATGCCACCCTCTCCCTTGATGCTACCATTGGTTAGCACGACTGTGTTGTGGCATGTAGAGGTTTACGTTGACTCAGAGTCGGTGAAGCAGAAACTTTACAAGAGGAATGGAACCACTGTGGATCATATGCAATTATTTTTAAGGCGTGCGGATGGGAATACAATCTTTCTCTATGATGACAAGCTCACTTTGAGGTGGTTGCTGCGATGAGTGCATTTCATCAAATCTGTTCGTGTAAGGGACTTTGGTGCTCAAAACGGCGACTCGATCCACATCAAGGACACTGACCCATACAGTGTCTCTGCCGGAGGGGCTTTGGAGAATCTAGATCTGGTACGTGAGGTCGGCTCACTCGCAGCATATTTGCTCTGTTCGTTGTAGGTTGATAAATACGTTATGGATGACGAGACTTACGATAAGCGTACTAACACACTAAGGCATTATATCAGAGAGCAGAGGAAGAAAAATCCGAATTTCAAGCTTAAGTTCGGGCCGCAGACAACACCGGATGGTGGGCCGCGTTGGATCCATGGAATAGCTATGTGAGCGCTTGTGTTGTGCAGAGAACCAGGATGCTGCCGTGCCTGAGAGACCGCCCACCCCAGAAAATGCGCGGGAGATGTAGGCCTACTACTCCTACTGTCACAAGCTTAGTGGAAGCTTGTAGATACGCAGTGGGCCAACGGTGTGAGGTAAATCCGGGCGGACGACGGGGAGAGGTGGCTTATTTCGGTCCGGTTAAAGGACTTCCAAAGGGCGAGTGTGAACCAGCATAGTCTACTAGCATTGTCGCTAGCAGGTTCCTGGGTTGGGGTTCGCTTAGATGAGCCTCAGGGAAAATCCGATGGTGTTGGACCTGACGGAAAGGAGTACTTCAGCTGCCCCAACGGGTATCGTATTCAAGCTCGATTGTGGACCTACTTTAATTCCTTTAGACCTGGCTACGGTTGCTTCGTATTATGCGAGAATGTAAGAAACAAACATTCTCCACGTCTATCACACAGCTTTAGGTCAACGTCGGTGCCGAGTTCGTACCTGCCGATCCGTTTGCTGAGCTCTCCTCTGAAGATGAGCTGTAAGGCTCTCACCTGATGTGAGGATTGTGAATTAGAAACTCTTCCTAATGTTGTTGTGTTCAAGAGCATTAATTCGTAAGAAGTGTTTCTCGAGTCAGTTCATGATGCTACGCGCATTGCTATTCTACCTAGCAGCCAGTTCAGCTTTGGCGGACGAACGGCCCCATGGAGCCTACTGTGGCAATTACAAAGAACTAGTGAGTTCCGAAGCTTACACGGGGCCAGCCCTTAGTGAATAATTAGGTCCGAAATGGACGCATAACAATCGACGATGATACACATTTCGACATTTACCTCGAGGTCTTCTTGGAGCAGGTGGACTGCAAGCGGGAGGAATATCAGGTGTCCCACTCGATGGCGATCATGGTCCACTTCTGGTTCAGTATGATTGTGAGACCCATACAGGGCAGCTTCCGCACTGGAAGGATCCAGATGATTGTATCAATAAGAAGCTCAATGACTTCGGCGGTGAGACATGATGTCCAGCTGAATGAATGCTCCGTTCAGTTAAACTGGATTCTATAATGCTCTATTATGATGCTGGTGCGGACCAATTGACACTTGAGATTAACAAGAAGTGGGTGTCATCCATTTCTATCCAGATCTGTCTCATTCTGATGAACTTCTAGGATCAAAACGATCATGAAGCAGTGTGACGAGTACGTGAAAAGCGGCGAGGATCAGCTATTGGACTTGGGGTTAGAAACCTTTCCAAGTGAGTCGCAAGAATCATGAACGAGCCCAAATGCGTCGGATTCTGCATGTATGCCTGTTTCCATGCAAGGTGCCAAACAGGAGGCTATCGAGATGTCTCTATGATGCAAGAATGTATTTGCGGCCTCGGAACACTTTTTGACGTCCTAATCAGTATTGTACTCATAATTTTTTCATTGATATTTCTGTTGAGCTTGAAATATTGAAGCCTGTGGCGAAGCCAGTAAGCGAACTCTACGTAGTGAAATCACACGACAATATGTATGCATACTAGAAGCTAACGCAACTTGAAGTCCAGAGTCGGGAAATCCGGTTACGAAATCTATGCATCTGAGACGCATTTCAAGCTGATGATGTGAAAAGGGTATTAAATAATAATGAATGAGTGCTGACAAATGTAATAGCTCCTCTTGTGTGGTCAATTACCACACCAAGACTTTAAGGAGCTTCAAGTTGAGCCTCAGACTCCGCTTGGTTGTTGATGTTGACGCCGAGCCGACTGAAGATGGCTTGCAATGTAGGACGGTTGACTAGTGATAACCCCAGTCGTCCCAATGCGGCCAGTCCCCTTCGGTGGCTGAATATCAGTTGCCTTTGGCGTCATTCTTGGGAAGGCAGTGTGCCCCGGTGCTTGCGCTAGAGGCGTCACCCCAACAGCCGTCAACCAATCGGTCGGCATAGTGGTAGCTGTCTGGTCAATCTCCTCATGAGGCTGAGTCTGCTTATCGAGATGCCAGTGGGTGGCCTTGACGAAATCGTACCTATCTATAGAGCCAAGACGAATCAAGGTCTCCTTCAAACCCTGCTTCACTTGAGTGACGCGGCGCTGCTTATTGAAAGATTCACTGCGCTTGCGAGCAACTGGCCAATTTGCAATAGAGTTGAACTCCTCCTCAAAGGGCGAATAACTCCTGAAGTCATGAATACTCTCCTGACCCATGAACCGAGGGAACTCCTCCTCGAAGGGGCTCACAGTAGTATCCTCAGGCAAGGGGGTTGCGTCAATGTGCTCCGCAGCAGGAAAGCTCCCCACTCTAGCTCTCAAACTCGGATTAACATTACTTTGCATCCAAGTCTGAGAAGGCACGTCCACATCTTGGAGATGCGGGAAGCTCTCATCGAAAGGACTGACCGTAGGATCTTCTGGCAGAGGCGAGTAGTCGACGTTCTTAGTTGGGAATGTACCGATGTTAACAGTGAGGTCGGGATTCACATTGCTCTGGCAGTAGCCCTGTAGGTGAGGGAAATCCTCGTCAAATGGGCTCTCCGACATATCCTCAGGAAGAGGTCTCGTGTCACACTTTTTGGTGGGCATGGTACCATCCTTAGCACGTAACGTGGGATTCACGTTACTCTCCCAGTAGGAGCTTGGTAAAGGGAAATGCTCGTCGAAAGGGCTAACACTGTCGTCCTCGGGCAGGGGCCTCATGTCGATCTTCTTAGTAGGCAGGGTACTATGAGCAACCGGTAGAGTCGGGTTCACATTGCTAGTCATAACGTGCTGAAGACGGTTCTCGTCCGCTGGGATCGGCCACTCTTCGTCGAAGGGACTCACAGTGTTGTCTTCATCCAATGGCGTCGAGTCAGCGTGAACGGTTGGGAATGTGTTGCTCCTAACCCGCAGATTCTTGTTGACATTGCTCTGAATCAGAGTCTTCTGGTCAGTGAGCATGTCCCACATATCGTCAAATGGGCTCACAGCAAAGTCTTCTTGAATAGGAGCCGAGCCGATCTTCTTGCTGGGTAGACTACCAACGTTCACAGCTAAGTGTGGATTGACATTACTCATCTTGTGACTCTGAAGGATCGGGAACTCCTCGTCGAAGGGACTAACAGAAGCATCCTCGGGTAGAGGAGTCCTGTCTATGTGCTTAGTAGGGAGAGTCCCAATGTGAACCTTCAGACTCGGGTTCACGTTGCTACTCTGGATGCCTTGGCATACAGCACAACGGTGCTTCTTGTTAATGCTGTGTCTTCTACCAGTCTTAGTATGAGAGATTGAGTTTGGGGACATCATAGGCATGTCCACGATGACATGAGAGGACTGGGAGGAAGTCGAACCCGAAGGGAGACGCAAGCCCTTAGAGATTGCCTTGTTTGCCTTGATGCCTAGATTAGTGTTCTCTTGGAAGCCTCCCTTATTCAGCTGAGGCAGCTGGAAGTGAGACCAGCCTCTCTGACCGGCTGAGTGAAGGTATTGCAGAGGCACATCCGACTTGTAGGAGTGGTGGTCCGTGTGACCGTACTTATTAGTGGTCCTCGATATCACAGCGCTAGCAGGTTGCTGGATGAGGAACATTCGTTAAATAATAATCAAATATGATAACCTACGGCCGAATCTTAGGTTTGCCGGAGCTACGAAGGGCCCAATGAGGGATAAAGATCCAATTATGTCCACGTCGAACTCGAATGGGAACGCGTGTCAGTTGATAATTTAGCTATCTGGAGGCGCCCGTATTCGTGATCGACACAGCCCTCTTGTTGATCCTGCGCCGTTAATATCGCGCGCGCCCGAAGTGGAAGACGGCTACTAGTCTGTGTGAGTGAGTGGGAACATTCTGCTTTCAGTTCGGTGGTTCTCTGTGTGAATTAATCCGCCAGGAGCTCGCGCCGCATTACTGAGAAAAGGACGTGTTTCACCTGATGTCGCAGGATGAGTAAGTTCCTTCGACGACAATCTGTGGGGGCTACTTCCCTGAGGGACTCCCTGTTGGTGCCCTGTAGTCATAGAACCTGGGATGGGTTCATCAATTGTATCTTGGGGCTTGTTGGGAGGGTCGCTCAATGCGGTTCATGCCTGGTCTGGAATAATGGAATGTGCATGGCTTCTTCAAATAGAGGCAAACGTTGCTCGATTTCTTGACGATGTTTACTCAGGTCACCCACCGTGCCCAACACTGATGTAGCTGTTATTCGTGTTACTGTACAGAGTCTACGAGACTTACAGCTCTCTATCGACGCTCCGAGAGCTAGGTAAGAGGAGTTCGATACCGAGTCATAGGAAGGCCAACTTGTTCTTGTCTTTTCAGATTGGAAGCTTTTCAAGAAATCACATCGTGGCTACGGTCCTTGGCCACCACTCGCCGTAGTACAGGTTCCATACCATCGGAGATAGACCAGGCCATCAGAATCCTCCTGCGTTTGAGATATACGTGTAGATTCGCTGACATAAGGAGTGTGGCTGATGTAGGACGATGAGGCATTTACCCCTCGTGACCGATCATAGTAATCTGTCGTTGTTGCCAGAACTTCCTAGCTGCTCAGAGGAACTCTGGTATCGCAGTCGCAGCCCGTTATATCAATACGGAGGTCAGCAGATTTTCGAAGAGTAAGCTGTCAGCTCAAAACTGTTGCGGTTTCGCTCCATGAGCTCGAACTCCCAGATCCCCATCTTGTGACGGTGCCAGCTGTAGATTGGTCACTATTTGACTCCTCCTCAGCTGCCAGGATAACGCACATAGTAATAATAATATCATGTGGTTACGTCATCTAGAGTGTGCACTTCTCCCCGCCCCTTAGGAATGGGCTATATCTACTGTACCACGATTCTATGTAAATTACGCTAGAACCATGGATATTCTCATGTTCCAAGAGGGAGGCTTGCAGCTCCACTGGAGGTAACACACCGAGGCTCCCACTAGTACATCGTAACTGCTTCATTTGTTATCTCAGGCACTTCATAGCCATGATGGCAGCCTCTCGGCATAATTGCGAGTATTTAGTTCGGAATCAAATGGAGCTTTTCCTGTAGTACATGTGAATAGCGCCACGTGCATGCGAGTGCATCATCATCCTCGTCTCAGGGCCTCCGGTGGTGATGTAGCTTGGCTAACGGACCCGACGACTATACCAAAGCAGCTCAGAGCTTTACATGTAGTGTGATTTGGATACTTATATCAATCATGCAAGTCGGAGTTCGTTGTAGGACGTAAATCTTATACTATGCCACAAGCCTTGGGAGCTCAAACAGCGGCATATGGAGGACTTACTTCGAGTAATTACATCAAGCGTAGTATGGGTGTATTCGAATGGTCCCTTTACAGGTTTGGTCGAAAGCCGACTTAGTGGTCGCTCTAGCTATACTCAGGTAGGTTGAAAGATCTGATGTTTGAGGCCGTTCTCCGGAGTATTGTGAGGCTCGCTAAGTTGCCGTTTCTCAGTACATTCCACACTCTTCCTGTTGTGGCATTTGGCCTCGGTCTAGAAGTGGAACCAGATCTGCGCCTCGAGCCTGGTGAAGTGTTTTTCGATGATCCCCCCTATGATCCTGACAACGATAGAATGCCTAGGTGATAATGTTCTTTTCTTGTACGGCAGCGAACATGTAGAGCTATCCTCAGTTGCTTCCTCGATAACACTGGATCGGTACCATTCACTGCTCAGAAGCTTATAGAGCATGCGGCCAGAGACTCAGACGACGAGTCGGACAGCCAACCTTCTGTTGGTGGGCAATATGACAATTCTCTTCGTAGTATGTCAACGAGCCTCATTTTCAGAGTACTTGACGAAGGATCCAATTACGCGGGAGGACTCGCATCCATCGTTTGGTAAACTCGCGGACCACTATTGGATGTTCGGATCGTCTCCAAAGACACGAGAAACTGAGGTAGTGAATACTGTGGTTAGTAAGTGGGTTGCCCGGCGCGAGAGTTGGCTCCTGCACAGACGAGCCGTCCGGCATCATCTTCATCACAAGCGAAAACACGACATACTGGTGGGAAGCAGCCTCAAAATGTAAGTTTGGTCATTTCGAAATCGTATATTATTATCGAGTTGACTCGTTTCGTTAGGCTGATCCCTCTCCCCAAGCATCTTCGTCAGCCATTCGCCTATCTGAGGGGAAAAAGTCCAATTTGAGCTCAGTGATGAATGCTTACCCGCGTGTTCGAGCACCAAGTTGCAGACGGTAGTATGGGTGTTTTTAATGTTTTCATCCCTTGTATGAGCAGGTTCCGGCACCCCTTCCACTCATCGGAGGATAGTATAGGGGAGCGGGAGGAATGGTGAGCGATATCTAACTTTGAAGTTTTGCCTCTGATAGATTATCATTCAGTGGGCATTGTGGTAAACCATTGCATTATCTGGATTTTGACGTCCGAGGATCGAGAGGCATACCGTGGGACTCGCAGTTCTCTTGGGATGAGCAGGCTCGTGTCCTGATGAATCACCTCTTACTGGATGGCTCACTCACGGACGCTATAGATCTAGAGTAATAGTCGCTGCTCCAGCGGTATCCGGCGTATTTCAGTCGTTCGTGCACGGTGTTAGGTATACGGAAGCTCTAGAGTCTGCCACTGATCATATAGGATCGCGAAGTGTGCCGAGTACCCTCCCGTTGCGTCAGGCTATTCTGGTCTATGTGCATCAAATGTATGGTATAGCGCATCACGACTACGACTACACTCAGCAGAACAAGGTAGTCTTGTGAACTTCACTTCTATCCTCGAGTTGACGGTTTTGTAGTTCCTCACGTTGCTGCAGAAGGTTGTGTTGAAGAAGCTAGTATGCTATCCAGAACGGTTTTCTAAGGCTGATTTCGGTCGATTCATGGACGTCGAACAGTTGGAGTTCTGGGAGATGGCAGACTATGTTTATCTCATCTTCCAAGGTACGTTTCCCTCGCTTCCTCATTACCTGGGGTAGTCTTCTCCAGTTGGATGATAGTGATCTTGCCTCAGCCCGTCGCGTGGTGGAGCTAACGTATGCACTGCGTGCCCTCAACAATGCGATGTCGGCCTTGGATAGTCAACTATGTCAACGATGAGGCGGCGGTTTTCATTTGATCTACCCAACGTTGTACTCGACATCAGATTGAGATATCGTGCTATCTCGCTGATGTAACCGTGTTTGGGAGGGCACATGTCTTACATCCTCACCGTGGTTGTATCGACAAGCCTCTAGCATCGTTTCCACAGGTTTTATTCGTAAATCACCCTCTGTACTTGCTCGATGTCATAATTATATTCTTTTGATGAGGGCGTACTATGTAGTTTCCTCAGTGGGGAATGTGTAATAAAATGACAAGTCAGTGTAGAGTTCAAAGTTTTCAATTCTTTAATGTTTGTGATTACCTGGGTTACCAGTGAGCAAACGGAGCAGAGATTAACTTGGTTCCCCGTGGCGAATCTATGTAGCACTGAGTTCTTCGCTGGTTATAACCCTTAGGTGAGGGGTCCCAGCTACCCTATTATAATCAGTGCTATGCAGAGCAGGAGCAGACCCGTTACCCGAGATGTGCTTCGATGTCGGTGAGGAACATCAGAGACCACATATCTTACCACATCCACTCTTCTTGGAGAATCGCGAACTAAGATGTCTCAATATCGGATATATACTGAGGGGACTCCGAGTTACCAGAAGAAAGGGCAGTGACTTTGATGCTCTCGAGTTATCTCGAATTAATCTGATTCTCGAATGGTTGACTCCGTCACGGTTGGGCACAAAATGGGAACGACGAATTTGGTCCTGGGAGCTGCAAATATGTTTTTGTTCAATTTCACAGCTAGTCCATGCACTGCAGAATTAGTTCTCTCCCACACGGGTAAACCGGTGAGGAACGGCACTCTCATGCGGCTGGACGAAGTCCAATAGTAGTACAGAAGAAAGTATCTTAGTGGTATCGTGCTGTAAATTGCGGATATATCGAAGCGTTTGTGAGTACTCTTGTGTTGTCGAAATATTTGTGACTCCGTAAAAACCCTTGGTACGGGAGTGTGGGAAGGGGAAGAGCACACAGCCCTTACGCTATTGGCACTTGGGAGTTGTTGCTCTTCCATGTCTAACGATGGCTTAGATGATGTTGAGCAGCTAAGATGCTAACCATCGGGCCGATGGTGCGTCACCATCGTCAGACATCTCCCGACCTAGGAAAAGAAAAAAATGATTCATGGCCGCACATCGATGCGCCCACTCGCGCGAGGAATTGCGATGAATGCTGATGCCTGTGAGGGTGTTGCGATCGATTCACTACAGCGCACGCAATATGATATCGATTAACCGGGAACACAAAGCAGTGCACGCGTGCACTCCCTCCCGTTTTGTTTTACCTGTCACTACGTTTCACTGCGCTCTCAAATATAATACTTCACCTATTTGGTTGTACATCCTATTCTCGCGGAATGCGGTTACGAACATCCTAGGTAGAAAACCCGATGCAATCGGACAAGCTGAACTAGCTATGAACAAGCTGCCTCTCAGTCTGAGAGTCTCAGATGATCTGAGTCAGATCACAAACAGTGCATAAACACGGTATCACACTGGCAGTGTGATACCGTGTATATGCACTGTGGAGTGTGACACTGCACTCCCGCGATTAAAAGGGTACTACAACACAACAGACGCTATTGGCGATACGTGTCGCTTGTGGCTGGCATCTATACAATACTATCTACGAAACTGCAGTGGTGTTACGAGGGATATAGCACTCCGAACCCGCACTCACATCACAGCTGTTCTGAAGACCTATGAATGTTGCTGCAAGTAGGCAAAAATATTGTGAATAAGCAGTGTATAGTGATCCAAATATATAGCTTGCTGTCGCTACTTCGATGGTCCGCATACGAGCGATAAACGAGTCAGCTGCTCGTTTGGAGACTAGACAAACAAGGCACTCACAAAACTCAGATATTGCAGCCGCCTTCATAGAAGTTGACGTCGCATGAGTTGACATACCTAACAAGGCCGAATATGCACAAGTTCAACACTATGACGATGATAATCCTCCAGTGAAATATCAATGGACTCATCGATGCTGCTAGATGAAGTTTGAAATTCCACTTCCCCCATCACTATTACTCTTTCGCCGTCTGTCCAACACTCAGTATACCACAAAGGGCAGCAAGAGCGGCAACGGTGCAGATAGTGGTGAAAGTGGCACCCTCGTCCTTCCCCAAAATTATCGCACCCGCAATGAGCTCGGACATTACCAGAACCTAAGGCAACGGCACTTTGCAGGACAAACATACACGATTCGCAACTCACATGAGAGAACAAAATCATGACATAAAGTCGTTTTGCCTCGTACAAGGATCCGTGAGCAAGGATGCCGTCCGCCCCAGTCGCTATGAGGAATGCTGCTGCTATCAGCGCTGAGTTTCGGATGAGCGTATGATGTGGGAAGACGATCGATGCATCCAGGATGACGGCCCTGAGGGAATTAAAACCTTGTAGTAGGTTGTGAGAGAAGAGTTCGACAAGACTAGCTCGCATAACGTACGAAAAGCCACAGGCGAGATGCTTAGTGAACCAATTGTCAACTTAACAGTTGATCATAGGAACGCATTGTAAAAGTACGACACGATTTCAAGTTAACTTCAAGGAATACCCTAAACACTGAGGGCCTGCGATTGAAGTAATATCACTACCCGATTCCAAGGGCAATCCCTAGAACAGCTAGGAATATGGAGTAAGCTCTCAGTAGAGCAGGAACAGGCCTCGATGGTGGTGCTTGTAATAGTAGGTAGTGTAGCGTCTCATCGACGTGACTAGGAGAGTTACACAGCACGTCTGCAGGTTGGAGGAGTAGCGGCATTTGAGAGCTCCGTAAGGAGGATCTTGTTGGCATTAAGCAAAAAACAATTTTACGAATAACTGAAATCATACCGCAAGAACCCTTCCACGCCACCCAGAGCGTGGCTCAACTGTAGAGAGTAGCTATCACACACAATTTGTCTGACATAAGTATCAGCTTCGATTTCATATATATCATCTTAAATCCATTCATGAAAAGAGATAGTGTCACGAACAAAATTCGCGAAGAGCACTAGAATTGTGTGCAACGCTCCGTCGGAATTGTGTTGCAGGAGTTGCAAAATAGATTACTAATTGGATGGCCCATGTCTTCTCTAGCACAGAGGATATCACATACAACGGCACGGCAGCTACGAGCTGTACATGAACCAGCTCCATTGGCCATATACTGTAAGTTGGTCGTAAATACTGCAGGAGTGTTCGGCCTGTCTGCATCCTAGCGATCTCGACTAGGGCCAGGAATTCGGGTCCTCCATGGGAAAGTTTCAGGCTATAAAAAGCACTTCATGCGGCAGCAGCAGATTAAGGAGAGGATAAAGGGCTTACAGAACCCGCAGAAAGCTGACTGCGGGCCTATGGGGGAGTAATATTCGCGGCACGTCTAACTGTGTGATTGCTTGCGATGTAGGTGGTGGCGATGGTTCCGGGATAGGCGGATTCGCATCAAGAAGAGGAAGCAATATATATGATCAGTTCATCAGCGTACATGGTCGTGGTTTCTGTCGACTTCTATTACAGGTCGTGTTGAAACTTTCACTGGTCGTTTCTTACGTTTATGCAGAACTGTCCATCCTCTTATTATTGTCTCACACATAATGAGTACACCAGCTGTCCGTAACTTGTGGCTATCATCATCTAGTCGAGCTGCCACTGCGGCCCTCAGTGGAAGCGTCAGGAGTTTGCAGACCTCGGCACCGAGATTTTACTCGCAAGACGAGATTGATACCGCGCAGAACTTTTTCCAGCTAATGATGGAGGGTAAATTTCGGCCAATGTCCTGTCGTTCTCACCAAACTGAGCCTTCTCAGCGGCTTTGTTTTTGCACGCATACATTCACATCATGAGTGGATAGTGTATTACCTCAGGTGATATCACAGGAGCCGCTAAGCTCGCGGAGCCTCAAGCAAAGCGACTTGGTATGAACGTTGAGGAGTTCATGGCCAAACAGGCCAGTGAACGAGCATACCTCATCTACAGGTAGCTTCTTTGTGACGCTCGACAACTGTATTGTTCAAGGCTGGAAGTACTCGACAACAGTTGTTTGCGATGCCCTACTACAGGTTCTCATCGGTTGAACGACAAGAAGCCATCAAGCTTGCTATGGATGGGGAGGGCTTCGACCAGGGCCTTACTGAGGCCGAACGTGAAGCTAATACATCAGGTATGTTATCATCGGACAAGCCAAAATAGCTACGAGTAGATCGAAGGCAATGTCGCATGATACGACCTAACGAGTTACTATGAGATCCTTTTCAGCCTCTGGAATGGCTATGTGCAAGCCTGAGCTAATTCATGAAATACTCGAGTCGGGAGGCGATAAGTTTTGGCTGCCCATCTGTAAGGAGCATTATGAGAGGATTGAACAGGGTAATTCGGGCTCTCAACCCGTATACCGTATGATTTTACCCTCATTTTTCTTGGTTCAGTTATCAAAATGTGTCGTACGTCTCTGTCGTTTGGTGATCTTTGTCCTGCGCCAACGAGAGACTATCAGCTGTTGGGACGGTCATACCCTCCTAGAATAATGCTAGGGAAGAGCGGGGCTGTTCTTCAAACGTAAAGATGATGATATACAGTGATACTGATGTTGAATATTCCGTATGTAGATACATATCTCGGCTCCTGGCCGGATCGCGTTCTTTCTCCCCTCAAGCCATGGCAAATCACGAAGCGGCCGCCCAGCTGTTCGACTCACAACTCCGTGGTTTGGGACCGGCCGATGGCCCCTTAGAGAAGCCTGATGCGGATCAATCAGGCCGCTTACAAGAGTTCAAGGAATGGGCGGAGGGCAGGGAAGAGGCCGCACGGAAGCATCAGCGATTAGTGAGTCTCAGTGACTTGACCAACTTGGACTGGACGAGTCTCCCTGCATCAGTTACTTCACCTTACATGCGATGTCTCCCGATACATGTTGGAACCACCAGAAGGCAGAGCTTTAATGGAGCTAGCGAAGTTGGTTATCACTCCAGAAAACCAAAAGGAGCAAGAGTAGGAGGAGTAGGTTATCTAGTTGGTTATCACAAGTCCATCAGGTACACCTCGGGCGTCATTCAGTCGACTCTGGATATGATGTAGATTACTGTTCAAGTGTTTCTTATCGATTCCTGTATATGTTGTTTTCTCGGGCTTCTCACACAGAGGTTCCAATATGAATAAATCGAAATGGTTCGGGGCTGCGGTATTTGATTGATACCATGTACCACATAGTTTCAGTACCTTCGCTGGTGGTAATACCACCAATGGGGTCGTCCGAGTTTGATGAGTACAGCTCTTATTTCACCTTGTTGCTTGTATGATCATTCATATCTTCTCTTGAATGAAAGGTATAGGCTTGAATGAATATATTCTCAAAGGGAAAGTATTCATCGGAGCTGTTTGTATGTCCGAGACCAGACTGGTTCGGGTGAAGAGAGTACGAAGGGTCGAAAAAAATCCTCTTGTCCAAAATCACTCATGTCCGATGGTCGAACCTGGGATCTTCCGCTTACCGAGACGAGCAAACATGGGCGTGTTTTTGTCTTAGTTCCACAGTGGAACTTCCACTTTCCCCGATTATTAATTGATTGTAACACAAGATAGGAGCAACAACAATAATGTAACAAGGTGGATAGATTTGGTAATCCTAACGTACAGACATGTATATATTACAGAATAATAACAAATATAATACAAAACCTACGTTCAAGTATCAGCGTGAACTATGGCACAGTCACGAGAAAGAAACAGAAAGAAACCATTACCAGCATCACCGTCACCATCACCATTACCAGCATCGTTACCAGCATCGTTACCAGCATCGTTACCAATATACTCGAATATCAGTGGCCCGCACGTCAACAGCCCTTCTATCACCGTTTTTTGCTGTAATATAATAGATTTGTATGACGAATGAAGATGACCTGAGAAACAAATACCTAATTAAATTTCAGGTGTTTGATCATGTTACGCTGAGTGCCACCGTGTCGGGAGTTATTGGAACGATTCAGCCACTGCTCGCAAATGTAGCAGTACCAAGCATTCTCACCACCATCTTCGACTGACATCACGAATAGAACTGATCGCGAGACATGAGTTCCTTTCTGAGGATCACATGCGTTCAACCAGGACAAATTCACACGTTTCTCACGTGTCACCTGTGCTAAGCTGTCTCTGCATACAATCGACGGTTTCTACGCTACGGGCAGCGATAAGCCTTTCTATGAGATCTCGAGTTACTAATGGGAACAACCGAGGTACCATGGGTTGATTCCTTCCCTACACACTGGGCATGGGAAGCATGACTCGTCTTTTCCTTCACTCGTCTACGATGTTCCTGTAGGCTACAGGCTGTAGCGACTCTTCGACTGGGCCGTACGCACGAGCAGCGGCGGCCGGTCCACCGTCTTGCAACTCAACATTACCAACTGTACTCATCTAGTAGTCTAGTAGTAATATCGAAGTGATAGCAGGTGACCAACAAGTGAGAAAAGACTTGGGAAAAACTCCTGCACGATCAGTATTACGCAGGACAAAAAGGTAATACATAGCGCGTCTCAACTAGGTTCCTTCAAACCAAGTCACGTCAGCAGGTGATGTGACTTGATGACGGTCACCTTGATAGTCTTGTAATCTTGTATTCACTCAATAATCTAGTAATCTCTACGGATAACACTGATAACAATAAATCTGGACGAACGACGAAGTTCGTCGTGTTATTGTTCATCGGACGAACAATAATCTCTCATAATATTTAGCATAATCTCAACTTCACAGTACCTTTGTGCTCGATTCAACGTGTATGGATGATGAGGCGTTAGAATAATGTAGTCATTGAAGACACGAAAGATTCTCCTCCATCATTGTCTTAAACTTGTGTTGTAGCTGTGTATCTAGGAGGGTCCTAGTAGGAGTCCACGCGCGGTAGCTGCTAGTGAAGAGTGTATGAGTCAGAGTTCGGAAAGTAATAGGGGATTTGTCGTATCGCGTTGGGTGAGACATGTGGGAGACTCTCCCGGAGAGAGCGAGTAATACTGGATTTCTTTGAGATGTATAGAACCAATCGATGTGTCGATATGTCGAAACGGAGATCGTTCTCTCCAGTTAGGGGAAGGACATGCGAGAAGCATACAGTCGATACAACTCGCTGTCGCTGCCCAACTCTCGACAAGCTGACGACTAACTCCAACAACAGGGCTGTTGAACTAATGCTCAAAATGCACATCAATTGTGTGGCAGTTCTACCGTGAAGGAATCACCAAAGTAAAGAGGATCTTAGCAGTGCAAGGAGCAGGATGCTGATGCGATTATATGCTGTTCATCGTGGCTTCCTAATTCTGCAGATAATTTGGAGCAGTGTCAAAAAGCGACTTCAGGATAAATGCCTCACCCGAAAGAGGCTCGATAGCTGCATAATTAATAAGCACTCGCACGAAGAGTATAAATTCTGAGAAGTCAATCCTATCCAGCTAAGATGCCCAGTGAACCGAGAATGCGGTGCAGAGGTAGACCATCGTTCTCGGCTATACACGTATCCCAGAATCTCTAACGTACCTACGAGCCATGTTTAACGAGCTCTGCCACAATACCAACAGTGAATTGACGTGCACTGACTGAGTGACCTACGTTGCAAAGGCAGCTCCCGTAGCATGAGACAGTTGGACCATCGAAACGCTATCTGGAGTGCTGCCATTTCTTTGTCTACGTGGCTGGCTAACTTGTCATCTACACGTTTGACGATGTCATCCTTCAACATCATCGTGCTATCAACGTCGGGCTGAACAGGACTATTCAGATGGTCCTGTATGTCCGACAAAACCTGAGGCAGCGATAGTCAGAGTCATGAGGCCTCATATTAGCCCGGATATTCACCGCACAGAGACCACCCATAGTACTCTATGTCCCCGTCTTTTCGGATCCACTGTCCCTTTCTGACGTTCCTTCCTAAGCGGTGTATACCTCAACCCTAATCTCCAAGCTTCGACCCGTACCTAGGTGAGACATTAGTTCAGCAATATCAAGAATAACATCAGTCGGAGCATATATGTATATAAACTTCTTCCCGAGAACATTACGTCGAAGTCGAATGGGCAGCCCGACCAGAGGCATTTCTCAAGCTCATCCAAATCGACCTGTTCCCTTCCAATGGTCGCCGCACCTTGAGTATCTGAACCAATCAACCGATACTACAAATCGACAAAGATCTAGTTGGTCTACCCTAGCTGGTTTGGTGCCACCGGATGGCAACTTCCGCCTGTCTCGGAGTCCGACGGAAAACTCTGAGGACGAACCACTATGCGTGACAGTATTGAATCTTATATTCAATCCCCAATCACCAATGAACCCGTCCCCGAACGAGTGAGCACACTTATCAGGTCGACTTGCGGTTGCTTCTGCAGCTAGATGATGACTGTTGGCTCCGCTAGTTGAGTTATACCCGAGCCTACTGAGCAGGCCTCCGGAACCCCCACTACGACGTTGAGCCAAACCGAGAGTCGACGATTGTGGGCTGGATGAAGCGCTAGACTGACGCTTGGTCCGCTGCAGATCCCAACACATTCAAAATGCAAACTAAGAACACGTCATCCAGTGCAACTCGATCCGTGTCTCTATGTACATCGGTCTTCCCTGACGGCAAGTAATGACAAAGTATGCTCTCTACTTTCCCATTTTAGTACTTGCCAAAAACTCAACCGATTAGCTAGTCTACGGATAATGTAGGAGTTCCACCATCATCACATTTCAAGTCTCTTCCAGAACTCCATAGTGTAATGGCCGAGCCTTATAGGCCCAGCCTGTACGAATGCGATATCAAATGTTAAAAAAGCTTGGCCTTCTCATGCTGCAACCTAAAGTCGGCGCCCGCTTGCATTGACGACTTGTGGCTGTATCGATGACCTACCTCAGGTTTACGCTCCTCTCCAACGTTCAAAGGGGCGGTCTCAGTCGGATCTCCATCAGGGACATTGAGAGTAGGATAGTTACGGCCGAGATTAGCTGGCGTTGGTACGACCACAGAAGAGTCGAAGACTGGTTGGGTGTAGTCTCCAGGGGCCTTATTCATGACCTACACAACCAGTGCATTTATGGCAGGAAAAATATGACCATCGTTTTACCTGCTCTCTGGCTTTCTCTATCTCACGCTTTTCGGCTAGGAGACGAGGAAGCTCATCATCGATGAAATCGAGCACGCGCCATTCGATAGCCAACCCGTTGTCCAGAGCGACCTGTACAATAACCAATGAGAATACTTCGGGTCGGCGCGAATCGGTGATCTCCTACTTGCGCCTTCCTCTGCAGGTCCTCATCGTAGTCGCCTATCTCCTCAACGAGCTCCTGAAATGATGGTAATGTGAAATACGGAAATCGATGATACCTGATTGAAGGTAGCCCTGGGCCTAACGACAGTCCTCTGGTCCAAAAGTTTAGAGATGGCCATTACTCCAGGATGATGGATAACAGTCAAGCGCCTCTCCCACCCAAATGTGGCAAAGACATCGGGGACCTGGTGGAGATCAATAAACGGTCTAAGGCGACACTGCTAGAAGTATCACCTGTTCCAGCAAGTACCTGGATCGACGAAGTAGAGTAGCTCCACGAAGAGCCATGTATAACGGCACGAATGTAAAGGTAACGATGAGTTGTTGCAGACTAGGAGATCTTGCGCATCTTGCGCGACTTGCGTTTTTCCGTCTCAGGATTTGCGTGCAGGGTCTTCCCGTCGAAGACTTCGACTATTATCAACAGATTGTGAACTGAAGTTCTCACTTCTGCTGTTAGATTTGCAGACAGTGATGCCTCATTTAGGCATCATGTGTTGACTTTAAGCCAGTACTGTGTAGCGCACTCTTGGGGTGGACCCACTGGTGTCTACTCGGATGCCTTTTTGAAACATGCGAACACCCTTCAAAGGTAACCTGATTAAGTAAAGGTGAGTACAAGAACCTTCATGATGTGGTCTTACTAAATCCAGCTAGAGATTTCAATGACCTTACAGAATGCCCAGTACCAAGGAATTGCCTTCACGCCGGACTTTGGCAGTAGCTGGTCTGCGGACGACGCCGACGACGATGAAGACTCAATGGATGAAATAACGAGGGAATACATGAGTGCACGGCAGTACAATGCTGAGTGATCGGAGAGACGATTGAAATCGGCCGTGGATTGAGATGTCCAATAGGTTAGTGAAAGAGATTGAAATATTGGATCGGAAACTAGAAGAGGTCAGTAGTCGACGACGTATTGCGCCACACACGGAGGTATGACGACGATCGCAGTAGTACGGTGATGACTTCGTGTGTAGAGTGGCTCTTACGGGACCGACTTCGAATCCTCGACTCTCCGAGTTAAGATTCTGGAGGAACAACTTATAGCTGCTCGGTAGTGAACTAGGGGAGGGGGGCAAGCGTTGGTATTTCTCACAGGCACCTTGAGCAACTACGGCTCGACCAGCTCTCTAAAGTGATGAGTGTATTCGAGCGGTTGAAGCTTCCTCTTAGTGATAAAGAATGGAGTGAGACCTCCCTTGGTGAGGACCTTGGCATTGGGGTGGTATGTATGTGTATGTGCTGAGCAGAGATGACAGAAATTCTGACAGCGTGCCCAACTCTTCCCGCACTCTCTAAGGTAGACTTGAAGGATATCGATAATGCTGATCACAGTGAGGTGATTCTCTTTTGGCGTGGTACTATTATAGATGATCCGGCTCTTTAGGTGTCTTCTATTTCAACCGAACCGGACATTACAAATTCGCCATTGCTCACGCGTGGCGTCGGGCTGGAAATTACTGTTACTGAGTAACCTACGATCCAACTTATGTCTAGTGATGCTGCTCGCCACAGGATGGGATATTCCCACAAACGTCCCCATGGCGAAGTACTGGCAATGTTGGAGAGGATGATCGCAAAAGTCGACCGAACACTCCATTTGGTTGATAAGGCGCAGGCATTGGAAAAGTCTCCCCCCAAATTCGACCGGCTTAGCGCGTGGAAGCCTATGCTGTATGCCAGCAGGTCACCCGAGCGGTATAAGCCGTGTCACCATGGGCGATATGCAGAGAGCCTTCCCATCTCCAGATGGAAGCTCATGCTCTAGGACTGTTCTCAATCACGTATTTTTCGTTATACTGAATCAACCTTTGCTAATATAAGCCGTGTTTTCGTAGAGTATTGTGGAAGTCGACGACCCCTAACGGGCCTACCCCATGTCTGATGACCAATTTGATTTCTAAACTCCTCGTGTGTTGAGCCAGTGGCGTGGGGCCTGTGATCAGTGTTGGTTGGAGACTTGAGACTTTTCGCCACAGAATCATCCTCTGTGCTCGAGATGGAGCTCAACGGGCGTAGTGATCATGCCTTCTTGGTGGGCCATCTGAACCACGTCGACTAGTGGGGGACCTTTCGGCTAGTTATCAGGAAGAGTATCATCATCATGGGAGTTTTGTATAGTACGCCATCCTTCTGATCAGTTGATGTGATCGTGTGACGGGCTGCACAACTCTGAGCATTAGTTGGCATTCCACATGAGAGATTTCACATGGCATTCATATGTCCTCACAAAGGAGAGCACGACCGTGATCGCGAATTGTACCCCACGATATTTATACTTATCATTTGCCCCTAGTGGAGATCTACTCTAGAGTGTGCAGTTAACTTTCTGGAAATAATTGGGCTAGTGTGATATTTTTGTGTTGCGCGTTGTCTACCTCCTCTGCTTAGGTTGGGACCAGTACGCTAGTTGACGTGACTTGTGTAGTTTACTAAGCATTTTTACGCCCTCTAATGTCTAACTGCTCCGAGTTTTTGCAATGTGGTAATTGTACCGCTGTTGCCGTTGATTGTGGAGCTACAGCAGATGGGGGCTGTATGGCTGCGTCTAGTGCGGACGGCACTCCAGTAGATATCCGCTTAGTGTAGGCATTGGGATCAGTATGGTCGGGGGGTGTAGCTGGCGGCAGTTTCTATGTGATTTATATATGATGCCCCCATGAGGATCGTGAATCACAATTCTCATAAGGAAATCATACAGTTGATGATAATGGCATAGTTGACAGACTGAATCGTCTCTGAGTTGTTCTTTCTTGGTACTCCTTCTAATGATGAGCACATCTGATAAGTTCCTACAGCGTGGTCATTGTACAGCTACTGCTGTTGACGGCATGGCTACGGCTGATGGTGGCTGTATTGCGGCTACAAGTGCCGATGGAACTCCTATAGATTTTCGCTTAGTGTATGCAAATAAGAATGCAGAGAAAGGGGTCGAGTGACTGTCTCTGCTGCTAGGTACATTCCCCCACGAACTTATGGTCCTAACGGCAAGCGGGCCGTGTACAAGCAATTCCAAGCTTATCCACGTATCGTGGATGCTGAGCGTGCACCGAGCTACGCTCCGACCGGACCTGAACAAAAACTAAGTGTACCTATCGGGTATGTTGATATGCCGGAGGGCACTACTACCTATGGATATTGGGAAGCTGCTTATGGGCTTATGAACGAGGCTGGGCTGTGCATGGGCGAGAGTAGTTGTAGTGGTCGCTTAGCTACTGTCCCAGTTGGTGAGTTCTCTGGGCTAGTATAACGGAATGGATCGCCCCTTGCTTGTTTGTAGATGAGAATCCTCATGGTGCCTTGTTCTGGGTCGGCGAGCTAGCAAGTGTTGCCCTTGAGCTTTGCTCCACTGCTCGAGGTGCGATTGAGACCATGGGTCGGCTTGCAGAGGAGCATGGCTTCTATGGCACCACTGAGGTCGAAGAAGCAGGGGAGGCCTTGACGGTCGCTGATGGTGATGAGGCCTGGGTCTTCCATATCCTCTCTGATGACACTGGCAGTGGAGCGGTTTGGGCAGCTCAGAAGGTCCCTAAGGGCCATGCCACAATCGTTCCTAATGTTTTCATTATCCGTGATATTGATCCTGATGACAGGGATAACTTCATGTTTTCGAAGAACATCTTCGATGTAGCCAAGAGGTAGGCCGCCTCGCCCCTCGTCATTGTCTACTCACATTCGGTGTTTCATCTCAGATTAGGATGGTGGGATGGCGCTGGTTTATTGGATTTCACCAGAACATATAGCGTCGGCGAGTAAGCTATACTTGGAAATACTTGTGCAGCCTTGAGCTGTGTCTACCAGGTATAATCATCCCTATTATGCTGGTCGCCGTTTATGGAGGGCGTTCTCTCTGTGGGCACCTTCGCAGAACTTCGACCCGAAACTTGGTGTTGAACTTGAACGACCAACATACCCTTTCTCGGTGAAGCCCGACGAGCCGATCACGCTAGAGAAGATGAAGAGCTTGTATCGAGATCATATGGAGGGCACTCAGTACGACCTGACCAACCACGTGACGGCTGGAGGGGCGTTCAGGACGCCCAACAGGTAGCCTGGCTTCAAGCTTGTTCTCGGTCCGGACCATCTCCATTACAGGTATGCTGAAGCAGAGGCTGAGGACTCGATGGAATATGGTGCTTGGGAGAGAGCGATCTCCCTCTTCCGCACACAATACGCGTACATTGCCGTGGCTCGTAAGGGCCAGCCTGGAGTCCTTCATTTTGCTATTGGTGAGTGTGCTATTATCTATCGTCGTTTGTACCCAGGGATGAGCAGGTGCTCCACACGGCAGTGTATATGTGCCCATCGTGGTGAAGCCGAACCCTACTGTGGTATGTTATGAAGCCAACTCCTAGTCGCTGATTCGATGTTGTACTTCAGAGGTCCATTCCTGCATTGGAGAATGCTTGGCAGGGCGAGTTCAACGAGAAGTCCCTGTGGTGGGCCGTTTTGAGTGTCTCTAACACGATGGATGTGAAGTGGTGCTATATGATCAAGGACGTTCGAGAGGCGCAGAAGGAGGTAGAGGATGAAATAGACGCTATGATGAAGACCAAGTCTTTGGATGGTGAGTACAGTGGAAATGGACTTAGACAAATATTTGTTTTTTCAGAGATCGAAAAACAGACCCCGGAGTTGTGTGATAGTTTGACTCGTCGTTGGTTCAAATTGCACTACACCCTTCTGGGGAAGTATCAGAACGGCTACGCCGACTGGGGTTACTCTAAGGTGCGTTTGTGATAGGGAATGCGTCTTGTGACATAATGTGTTCAGCTGGGCTATGGACCCACTACTGAGTGGCTCAAGACTGTTGGTTTTGACAAGTTCGATGCAACCAAGAAGCAGTTCGATGAGCAGAAGGAGCGCTTTATGAAAAGTCAAAGCGAAGCTGATGTCATTCGGCGTAGAAACGCATAAGTTCGTTCCTGTTCGAAGGTGGTTTCCGCGCTACTTTTTCACTTTTCCATATCTTTTCGGTCGCCCAGTTTTTACGTTTCCACACAGATCGCTACTTTTCTCTCCGATCTAACTCCATCGATGTTGTGTTGGAGATCCTCTAGCAGTTGGGTTATTCATGTGGACAAGTCCTCGCTGCCTACACTAGAGTGTGTTTTCTGTGGGATTGCATATGCCCTATGGAGTTTCTACTCTGTGCCATCGTGACTGTTTGTATTTTGCTTCCTGACAGTATCTCTTGTCATTGTTAATGCGTTATTCATCTTTGTTATTGCTGAGTGGCCTCGGTATAGCTCTGGGATCCACCCCTCAGGTGAGTATGGGAGTATCTATTGAGTAGTATTTATCATATCAATTCTTGGCAAAGTCTTATCTGATTTTTTTTCTCAGAGTGCTAGCAGAGATCGAGTACGACCAGATCACGATCATTGTACCGCCCTCGCGGTAGATTGTGCTGCGACCATAGATGGGGGATGCATTTCTGGAACGAGTGCTGATGGAAGTCCAATTGACTTCAGGATGGTGTAAGTACTATTCTGTCGGGGTCTTATGCAATACCTCACAATTCAGGTACGTCCCTCCGAAGACCTACGGCCCAGGTGGCAAGAGGGCCGTTTTCAAGCAAGTCGATGATTATCCAAGGATCGTTGATGCCTCCCGTGCGCCGAGTTATGCACCTACATCACCTGAGCAGAAGGAGAGTGTCCCTATTGGTTACATCGACATGCCTGAGGGAACCACCTATGGCTACTGGGATGCCGCCTATGGTGTTATGAATGAGGCTGGTTTGTCCATGGGTGAAAGTAGCTGTAGTGGACGTCTGGCCGCTGAACCAAGGAGTATTGTTCTGATAAGCAGCACATAATTTGTGATTTATTTATTTTTTCAGAGGATGAGTACGACACTTCAGGAGCGCTTCTTTGGGTGGGGGAACTGTCGGACATAGCAATGGAGCGCTGTGCAACCGCGAGGTGTGCTATTGAGACCATGGGTGGTCTAGCAGAGAAGTACGGGTTTTATGGTACGACAAGTATCGTGGAAGCGGGAGAAGCCTTGACCATCGCTGATAAGAGTGAAGCTTGGGTTTTCCATATCGTGGCTGATGATACTGGAAATGGTGCGGTTTGGGTGGCCCAGAAGGTCCCCAAGGGCCATGCGACCATGGTCCCTAATGTATTTGTCATTCGAGAGATTGACCCTGATGATTCTGAAAACTTCCTTTTCTCTAAGAACATATTCGATGTGGCGAGAAGGTAATAGTAAAAGGGTGTTGCAAATACACTGTAGCCATGAAAACATTGTTTTTTACGTGGTTGACGCCCTCAATCCCTAATTCTCAGGCTCGGCTGGTGGGATGGTGTTGGCAAGCTCGACTTCGTCAATGTTTACAGTGTGAGCGAGTAAGTCGAGTTGCTGCTCACGGTATCGAACCATGTTGTACTCGTTAGGTATGATCATCCTTATTATGCTGGACGTCGCTTGTGGAGAGGTCTTTCACTGTTCGCACCCTCTCTGAATCTTGACCCTAAGCTCGGTGTCGATTGGGACCATGCCACCTACCCTTTCTCTGTTAAGCCTGATGAACCTGTTACTGTCGATTTCCTCAAACGCTTGTATCGGGATCATTACGAAGGGACTCCGTATGATCTCACTGATCACGTCGTTGCTGGTGGACCCTTCAACACACCCACTAGGTAGGTAGCATGAACGTCAGCATCTTCAGCTATGCTGTTGCTCTCAGATATGATGGCGCTGAAGCTGAGAAGAGCTTCAAGCATGGTGCATGGGAACGTGCTATATCGCTGTACCGAACGCAGTATTCGTACTTCGCTGTAGCCTACAAGGACAAGGCTAATATCATTTACTTCGCCCCGGGTAGATGATTCCTGTAAGGCTTGTGTGGGAAAATTCGGGCAAGTTCTCAGGTACCCCTCATGCTAGTGTGTATATCCCCATCGTAGTAAAGCCTCAACAATCAGTGGTAGGTTGTAGTTAGCAAAGTTCACACCATCTGCTTGTCGATCAGACGTCGATCCCCGCTCTTGAATATGCCTGGCAGGGTGAGTTCAATCGCAGCTCCCTTTGGTGGGGTGTGCTCTCCGTGTCGAACGTGATGGATTTGAAGTATCGTTATATGATCGAGGATGTTCGCAAGGCTCAAGTAGCAGCGGAAACCGAAATAGACATGATGCTCGCAACGAAAACTGATGAAGGTAAATCCCTGGCGTGTCACCGTGGCTTTGGCTTTGTTATTTCCCGTCCTTCAGAGATCGAAGCTGCTATGCCTGAATTCTGCAGCCATTTGACCAGTAAATGGTTTGATCTTACGTTCACGCTACTCGGCAAATACCAGAACGGGTATGCCGATTGGGGTTATACGAAGGTAAGTTTCCTTTTTGGAAGTTTTTTTAATCGTTCTTGAACCACAGATTGGATATGGCCCTTCCTCGGGATGGCTCAAGCGTGCCGGCTATGATAGATTCGCAGCCTCAAAGAAGCAGTTTAAAGATCTCAGAAGACGGTATGCAAAGTGTCAAAATGAAGCTGATGAGATACGACGGAGAAACAGAGGCCAAGCTTTCGAAGCAGAAGCTGTTCTTGAAACAGAATAAATGAGTTCCCTGCACTCCTGACCTAGCCTGAAGAGCAGATAGCCATTGGTTGCAATGTGTGTGTTTCATTGATAAGTTGAGTTGTGTCGACGAATGGAACAATAGATTGCGGTGGGGGACTCGGCAACTTGAGGGAACCAGCAGAAATGAAGAAAAATGCCAACTAAATGTTGTTGAGGCCTTTCGTTGAAAAAAATGTCATGCCCACAAAGGAGGTACTACGTTTATGAAAATCCAACGCTCATTCGGATAAATTGCTATTCTTCGCTGCCTCGGCTTGAAACCTACTGATGTAATGTTAAATACGTTGTTAAATGTCAACGCAACGCATCGTAAAACTTCGAAACACTTCCGTAGTATAAATGAGCAACGATCACATCAATCACTCCTAATCCTTCTCAGCTATCGCGTTCAGATGCTCATCGATTTCCGATGGGGTGAGTTTCCTGAAAATCCGAGTACATATAGCGAATACCGACGTAGAAGAATAACCACCTAAATCTAGTGTTTTGAGTACTCATGACGCAGACCTCGATATCACTGGGCTTGAAATCCATGGACAAAACCTGTAGCAACATGTTTCTGAGGAGGGACAGGCAACACATTCATCATATAGTACTGTCTGTAAGGCGGCTATGGCCTCTTCAACGGTCTCAGTCTCATCTGAGCCCTCGGGCACGCCAGTGTCCATTCTCTTGCGCACTATTTTCTCCAACGCATTCGTAGCTTCCTATAAAAGACAAGAATAGAAATAAAATGGTACATGCATACGGATATCACCTGCTCCTTTGTACCGGCTGCAGCAGCCTTACAGCCCACATAGTGACCAGCAGGATCTACCTTCAAGAGTTGAGGACCGAATTCATCGTCAATTCCGAAGAACAGAGCAACTAGGAAGGAAGAACAACTCATATCTGTTGCTAAGAAGTTCAATGCCTCGCTTACTAACACCATATGGACGCATATATGCATGCTGAGTGTAGACCTGAGCTAAGTTGGCGATCTTCTTAGCCAGATAGTGGCAAGGGATCTCGCAACCGTTCTTGTCCTCATACCTGCACAAGCGAATAGAGCGGCTTATATATTCATCGACTTCTTACTCGGAAGCAGTCTGACGAGCCCTATTGACGAGAGCTCGGGCATCAGCTGGCATGCCGGCTATGACAACTCCTAGGTTGGAGGTAATACGATATATAGAGTTGGTGAAGGAGCCATCCTGGAGCTTATCCTGGGAAATGAAACCAAGTGAGGAGACCTCTGAGAAGCACTTGTGCTGACCGGGATCTTCTTTTGGCCAACTGCAACAACCGTATTCTTGCCCTTCATGGCAAGGCATGTGAGCCCAGATGTCTTCACAGCTTTGAAAGCATACTCAACCTGACAGCACTACAGAAGCCTCTACCAGCAAGGGCCTATTACCTGGTATAGTCGTCCCTCAGGACTGAAGATTGTGATATGACGATCGTAGCCAGATTGACGCGACATTTGGCCAAAAAATCAAACGCTCCTGACGGCAAATACACCAAGAGAGAGCTCAATTGAGCTATGGCAAGGAAACGTGAGCGCCAGAAGCAACACAATACCCTACGCGCAGTTAACGTGAAGACCATGTAGAAAGCAGCCACCAAGATGACGCTGCCTGAGCTCAAGACTGGTGATCTCCCAACAGACACTACCATTAGGCCCTCCTGTGGTTTGAATGGTCAAGAAGGTGAACCCAAGGTAGCAGCGTTGCTTGGTGGCCGACACAGATGTAGCGACGGGCTGGCAGTAAAGGTCAACAGACAAGTCGAATGCCTCGGGGAAGACTTCGAACACTTTCAGCACTATATAAACAATATCCGGGTTGACGGCGAGGAACGGGTCGGTAGGTGCAAAATGACGAGATAGAAGCTGTAGCCCAACCACCGAGACTGTAGGGGATATATGTGCCCAATGCCCCACTGAGGGAACTGATATAACCCTTGTAGTTAAGGAGAGTCCCAACACAAAGCGTTGGTGTCAGCAGGAGACAGGAGATGATAATATAGTAGGAATCAATCGTAGTGCTGTAGTACTAGTACAGCAGTAGAGCAACTAATCTGCCTTACGGTCTACACTTGCTGTGGGTTTCTCACTCTCCTCTCTGCGAGTACTCTTCCGACGGCTCTCACTCCTATCACGTGAAGCACTCCTCTTCCGGTCATGGCCATCTCTACGACTCGAACTCCTACGTGTACTGTGATCTCGTCGACGTTGAGAATCACCCCGCGAGGGGCTCTTAGCGTCAGAACTTGGCACCGGCTCGCCGCTGCGGTCGCGCTTCTCCACATCTTTCTGAGGGCTCTCACTTCCACGTTTTTCCTCGACACGGTCATTGGAGCGCTCGGTACTGCGGCTTCCAGAGCGACTATCCCGAGGTCCGCTACGGCTCCGGGAACCACGAGACTCCGACCGGTCGGCTTCTCTCGATTTGGATTTTCCCTCACGAAGCTCGCTGCGGTCCCTCGAACGACTTGTACGCTCCTTCTCACTGCGGCTCCTTGAGCGACCATCAGATCCTTCCCCTCGACGAGATGTCCTTGATCTTGATTCGTGACGGGACCGCTCTCTGTCTTCAGCCTTGGACGTGGACGAGCGATCGCGAGGCTTCCGGGGAGACTCCGAGCGACTACGACGCCCATCACGACTGTCCGATCTGAAAAGGAACGCCAGGACCTTGTCGGAGATCCCGATACACTCCGTGACTTACCGGCTGTCAGAGGAACTCGAGCGAGATCTAGATGATCGTGAGCCGGACCGCGAATAGGATCGGGACCGGGAACGGTAGCTTCTTCCCCGACGAGAACGACCACGTGAATAGCTACGACTCCTTGAGCGACCGTAACGTCTACGGCTGTATCCACGCGAGGGGGAGCGGTAGTATCTCCGTACTCTGTCCCTAGCAGCCAATTGTCCGCTACCACCAAGTTGTTGGCAAGCTCACCTGGGACCGGCCTTAGCCCATTGCAGGTTCAATGTATTGCCATCAACGCGAGCTGAGGCCATACCGCGATAGGCATCCTCTGCATCCCGCTCGTCGTCGTACTCCACGAAGCAAATGTTCTTTCCCGAAGGGATGTAGCATCTTATGACGCGACCATATCGTCCAAACTCCTCCGTGATATCACGCTCAGTAGTACGCGAGGATATGTTCCCCACGTAAAGAGTGTTGCGGCTATACATAGGAAGGGTAGTGGGACCGAACGCTCTGCAAACAAGAACGGGAGGCATCAACACAGTTTCACGTAGGCCTGAAGGGAACCACAACCGACTGGCGAAAAAGTGGAGAAACCGACGACGCCCCGTCGAAGCTACCCGTTCGAACTAACAGTCAGAGATACGTGGATGCCCGGAGGAACGAATACGATCTGGGAGGAGGAAGGGGAGGAGGAGGACTATAAGACAGCAATGAGGGGCTACGTTGGATGGACGTAAGCCTGGGCTATTGGTCTTACAATGATAGTAGCTATCAAGGTCGGTGCCTCAGGTAGGTCCTCCCTTTGTATTAATAGGAGTAGAACACCGGCTGGCTGCCATCTCGACCTACGTGTCTATACCCATGCCTTCGAGCACGAACTCCTATGAGGAAGGGAAATGATGACCAACTCTAATGAACCATAGGTCTCCGTTGAGGAAACTCAAGGTAACAAGATGGCTCAAGATGCCACTGTCCTGAACGACCACCACGACGATGACGGTCGTAGATGATGAAGACAGCGACGTTTCGAACGTCCCAGAGAGGCAAGGTGGTATGTATAGTGGACGATAATGTGTATCACATGCAGAGAGCTTATAAGGATCGGGTCTATTGGACTTGCAAGTCACGGACGAAAGGCTGCAAGGCCCGACTTGTTACGTTGGGCGATCGAGTTATGAAGCAAAACCATGAGCATTCTTGTGGTTTGAGTACTCGTGGGGTATCGCGATCCGATTTGGCGGCTCCTATACCGTACAATACGCCTAATCAAAATCAACCTACTACGACCATTGACATACCAGCGCCGACCGAAGCCGCTGCGGCGATGCGGTCTACTCTACTGGGCTTCGCTGACCACCAGGAGCGAATACTATGTGATAAAGCCATTCTGGAAGCATACGCTCTTCCTAATGAGTCTCGAGCTACTGTTGATCTAGATGCTGTCATTCGAGAATCTGCACAAGTTCCTGAGGCCCCAATTGACGACTTGAAGTTCAACTCCTCTACTTTGTATTATTGCTGAGTGCTTCCCTGAACGCTGCTGGACTTGCGTTGGGGACGCCGTGACTCGAAATCAGCATCTACCTCCTCTATTTCTGCTACTTACTAGACGATCACGTTAAGAGCTCCCGTCCTTACCAGTTGTTGTGTTGTGACGGCTACCTCAAGTATTACTTATATGCACCTTACGACAATGAGCTGGTAGACTTGATTGCCTGGGCAGAAGTCGATGAGAAGGGAGTTGGAGTATGATCAGCAGGGTATGGTAGTTATCGATTGGGACGATGATGGTATTGCCTCTACTGTGGACTCGTCTCTTTAGTCCACACCGTGTGGGAGGAATCCCACCCAGCGAGGGGACTGTTCACGCCAGGGTCGTGCTCTGAACTGGTCGAAACCTGGAAAAGTCCCCAGAAACGGTGGGGTTACCAGGGAGTCTCGCACCGATTCAGTTGGATGGGAACTCACCGTTGTGGTAGGGTTCAAGTGATGCTGAACAAAAATATGATATGGTCTCAGCTGAGAAAGAGAGCCTGCTTGTCGTTAGTGATGGTGATTATTTTTACAATCCTGAAATACGTCGCTTTCTGTCAATTTGGTATATTCGGGTTGAATCTGGGGCTTCGCCTTTTTCGAATTCGGAATTGGACGTGAGTGTGTTACTCGAACAGTTAACATTTTAAATGCTCTCGGATGATTCGGTGATTACCTCCCGTCCCTCTGCGACATGTATCCTCCTCTCTGGCCTCTCAGTGGTTCTCTATAACCTACGCACGCTCAAGTTCGACCTAGACCAACCGCTTGAGCTCTGGCCGCTCGCCCTGGTCTGCCTCAGTCCGATGATTGCCGCGCAGGAGTGTCGGGGGGCAATTCTGGTATCCTCCATTTCATTCGCTGCTTGCTCGGGCATCTTTTTCTGGTCTATTGGTCTGGAATTGTACCTTGGTTTGGTAACAGGGCTCATCTGGGGTGCCCTTTGGGACCTACTAGAGGTATCCGATGAATACGTATTAGACGATAAGTCCGCTATAGGCAAGCCCATCAGGAGGGCAGCATACTGGACTGGTATCGTATATATCACATCTTATTTTTTGGGGACTTTTTTCGCACTCAGCACGCCTTTCCATGACGTCCCTTCACTGATACAGCCGATTTCCTGGTTCGGCTTCTATTCGTTGGAGTTCACCGTGTTCTTAGTTAACGCGGCTCTGGGTCAGCTTGTTTTCACACAGCGTCGGAAGCCTCTGGTCGCACTTGTGCTGTGGTGCATGCTAGGATGGAGTCTGTTGTCAATTATTCAGTTTTACATCTTGCGGACTTCCACAGGGCCATCAGCCAGAGTGGCAACGATCACTCCTGGTGCAGAACTGGGTGGTGTTGCATGTGACGAAACTGCAGTAGAGCAGTACGAGAGAGACGCTACTTGCAATGGGACCCTAGAAAGACAGATGCAGCTTACCAAAGACGCTGTAATGAATAAAGGTGCGAGATTTGTGGTATGGCCAGAAATGTGGCTCGGACCCTTCCAAAATCTCACAGAGGCTAAAGATTATATCCGTTCGGAAATAGGACAAGTAGCGGGGCAGTTGAATATTTTCATGTCCATCGGAGCTCTCGTTGGTGAAAATGGTAATATCGCAATGCTGGTGGGGCCTGGCGGCAAGATCTTGGGAATCTATGGCAAGCAAAACCGACTCGGTGTAGTCGGGGAGAAGAGCTCATTACGGTTTGGATATCCGACATATGAGGTACCTTCAACTTTCATAGATTCGAATGGGCCCTGGACCGGGAAGGTTGGGATGCTGATATGCTACGATGTGGACTTTTCCCAGGCTGTTCGCTCCATGATACTCCAGGGGGCTGGACTAATACTCAATCCATCGCAAGATTGGTCAGCAGTTAGGGATCATCTATCTCAAGTCGTTTTCAGAGCGGTAGAGAGCCGGGTTGCTATTGTCAAGGCAGACATGGCCTGGGATTCAGCCATTGTTGATCAAATGGGACGCAAGGTCGCGCGGTTTCAAAGCCGCAACGAGCGAGAGAACGTCCTGGTGGGAAGGGTAGAACTGGGAGATGGGAGGCTCACTGGAGCTGCGCTCACCAATGACCTCTTCCCTCTGATATGCGTGGGGTTCTCTCTCTTTGTGCTGATGTCTGCTAGCCGGAAACAATATTTTGCAAATACAACGAGAAGTGTATTAACTCCGAATGGAGATTACGGGGCTCTCATGTCGGCTTGAAAATCGTGACATGTTGTATGCAATATTGATATCACGGTTGAGATGCGTTCAGTTTGAGAGGGGAGGGCGAATCGCGAAAAGGAAGTGCCTGAACGAGATGACAACGTGGAGGACCCTGCCACTGGCCGGAAGAAGGCCTCTGCTGATGTACGATGGGCTGTGGAGTGCCCCGATGAAGTTATGGAGGCAGATACTTTCTAAGCAAAAAATAGTATCAGTACGACGGATAACTATGGGAGGAATTCCCACTGGTGTGGAAAAAGTATAAAATTGCAGACAGAATTGAAGTCTCCAACGGACGTACTTTTTTCAGCCTTCCAGAGTGTCAGAAACGGAGAGTGTGGCGTCATCACAAAACCCATTCACTGACCTTGGAAGTAGGCTTATAGCGTTGGATCAGTGGGTACATGTTTGCATGCACCGATTGTAGATGCGGAAAAATATGATATGGTGATAGAGTGATCGATATTTAGTGACAGATCTGTATTCCCTTAGGTGGGTTCAAAAAACGTGAAGTGTATCGGTCTCGATGATGATGAGAACACCGAGGAGGATGGGCAACTCGCGTCTTACCGTGTTAATGTATTCTCAATGGGAGGTTAGTTTTCTCTGTAATGCGATCTCAGTTGCTTACTTACGAGAATGATTCGGAGTTCATTAAGACGGTGAGGAGCTTCTCAGCGAGCGGGGCATCGACAGCAGTCCCGTCACCTGAAACTGATGAGAAAGAAGGCTCTATTAAAGCCTGAGGAATGCATCTACCATATATGGTAACCATAATCAACTCATTCGTGTTGTGTTAAGGAATTTGTGATAACGAGAATGCAGCGTTCATTTATGTCTGCTGATGTGCCTGGTTTTGAATTTTCCCTTCCAGGTTGTAAAACGTCGAAGCACGAGGAAGGAAAAGGACACCCGTGAGGGTATGTACCACTAGAGAGCAGCATCCTTTCTTAATAATCATTTTACTCGGAAAGCCCTCGGCAGCAGAGCTCAACGGCCGAGCCAAGACTCTTCTGGATGGGTCCTTCAGCCCAGGTAGTTCTCGTTGAGGTGAGGCGGGAGCCGCCAAGATGAGCTCTGCTACGGCTCTACCCTACGTAGTGGAGGTAGTACTAGTTTAAGTATGGGGAGAATCTCATCGTATTTTATCAGAGTTCCACATGAGAGTATCCCATTACCATTTGCATAGACTGGTCAAGTCCGTTCGTTGTCAAGCAGCGGCAATGCCGTTACCTCTAAATGCTTGCGTCAATAGTGCAATGGGTTCAATCCGAAATCACTCGAGACTCCCTCATGATTGGAAGCTACGGAGTGCTGATGGCCATACTTGCCACTTTATTGGTTATTCGATTATGAGTAGATGATGTCAGTGATTGCATACACGAGGTTTAACAAGTCCTATGGTTTGAGTCCTCGAGGTCCTATCGGTATGCATTTGTCCACGCTCCGTTCAAACACTACATCTCCATTAGAGATCGTCGTTAATTTACTAATTTATTAATGTGATCATCTTCCGGGTCCATGATAACCTCATCAACCAGGCGAGTGAAGGCGTCTCGACATGGCGTACATGCATACTCAACGAAATGCGCTGTAGGTCAACAAATGAAACGAAAAGTTGAACGATGTGGAAAGAGAGGAGCATACCAGGGATAATATTCGCTGCTGCTAATCGGACTGTTCCACGGGCTGTACTTTCGTGTAAAGATCGTATCTGAGTTCAACAGGAAGTTGACCACACTGATTCGGAGCCCTCCTAAGAACCTTTTCTGAGAGGCCGTAGGGATATTCCGCCGGACTCTATCAACCATGGTCAAGTCTACATCCACAGTGAACCAGCCATGCTTCTCGTCCGTCTCGTCCACAACCTGTATGGAAGAATAAGACCAAATACTACATTAGCCGTCCTAGTATTACCTCACCCCAAGGATTGACTACCATCGAATGCCCCCAAGCTTGATAATCCTCAGGGTTCTCACTACGAGAGGGGGATGCCATGACAACGTAGCACTGTGTATCGAGAGCTCGTGCCCGTCCAAGGAGTCTCCAATGGGCCTATGAACAGCATACACCGACATTCCACTCGGAGACTTACTGGACCAGTCGTCATGTTGAACGCTCCTGGGTAGATAAGCATCTTCAGATCGGGAGCTATATTTCGAAGCAGAGCTGCGTATTCTGGAAACCTTACATCGTAGCAGATCCCTAGCCTACACCACGAAGGAAATATAATCTCCAGCGTTGACACATGCACTTGTTACCCGAAAGGCCCCCATGGAGTGTCGAATACGCATGGACCGGAGTTTCCAGGACTTAGAGTTTCGGACTCGAAAAAACGAATACCAGGCTTATCACCATCCGCAGGAACATCAATATCGAAAAGATGAGCCTACCAGAGAAGTCGAGTAAAACATCAGCGTAATCAGATCTCTACCTTGCGATAAGTTTTCACCAGCTCTCCCGAACTATTCACGACCAGTGCCGTGTTATAGACCTTATCAGCATCATCCAGTTCGGGCACAGTGCCACCAATTATCCACACCTACAACGTAAGATCTAATCCTTCAGAGCCTCGACAGACGATTGGGCCAGTCGCTAGCCGTCACATCATTACATTTTTCTCTTTGGCAACTTCTTTGACCATGTCTAGCGTAGGACTCTGGTCGGGTAGGCGTTCGCCGTATTGTCGAAAGTATCTTGAAGAACGTATTTTTATGCAGAAGATATGCACATTGATTCATACTTCGGATGATAGGGACAAGTGAACATCTCTCCAATAACACATAGATCTGGCTTGGATATATCAATTGCTGCTAACAGAGTCTCTCGAGCGCCTAACGTCGTAAGATAGAGCACGACCGAAATACGAAGCATACCGCGGAGGGAACTAGCCTTTTCCGGAAAGACTTTTGTTTGTAAAACGGCCACACGAAGGGAAGATTTCATAATAGGGGAAATTGCTGACATATGAGTGTTGAACAAAATCAATGAAAAAAAAACAAAGCGGGTTTTCTTTAGCTGATGACCCCCTCACAAAATACTATGAACATTACGACTCGCGTTGTGTTAAGTCTGGATTCCGGAAACTACTCGAGCAACGCAATCCCATCACGCTCAACGTGAAACAGACTCCCTATGAGACAGTTGGTGTATGTGGTATACTGGAAAAGCCGCGGTCTGAGGTGCTAAAGATTTACCAATATATCCGTGCCAGAGGGAATAATAGGAGGCAACGAAAACCAAACAACAGCACAATACTGCTGATGAGAAGTAGATGCCAACTACATCCAGCCGACCAGTTTGAACACGAAAGCAACCTCGCGCGTGTCACGGAAAAGCGAGTCTTGTGACCACTGGAGAGACATTCGTAAGCAATCGGTCACAATCTTTCCAGTTCATGGTTTCTGTCACAGATAGTTGATGAACTAAAGCAACAATCCGCAATTGGACCAACCGCGCCTTCAGCTAGAGTTAAATTGTAGCACCATAGAGGCAGGAAAAAAAGAAGGACACATAGTAGATCAGTTCTCACAAAGCCCTCATCACCAACATGCCGTGCGAGTCAGTGTTCCAAAAATTCATCGAAACGTGCGAGTATGTCTCCAAGAGTTCCTAAGGAGCGCGCGCTGAGAGCACACGATACCACCCTTTCTTCAACTGTTGATGATAGAACCGAATTCTCGAGGTCGGTAATATTTCCTCTCCCACTACAGCACGCTAAAAAGTCTAAAAGTGGTCCGTCACCATTAACCTCGTCGATACTCTCCATGGGAGAATCCTCCTCGTCATCATCAACGTCGGGGCCGGCGGGAAAATAATCAATTAAGTTATCACAGTCCATGGCATTGAAATCCTCCAATGCTAAAGATGGATAGAAGCAGCACTCGGTGGCTTCAGTCGAAATAGATTCCGCGACGTCCCTCGTGGAAGGTTCAACTATAGTCTGATGAGATTGACAATACATACTTGGCCACGGGGCAAGCTTCTGAAAAAGATATCCCCAACGCTCAATTGAAACACGAGAATTCACCTTGCACAGAGGATAGTCGCATTCTCTACCCGCTCCGTGATTGACACATAGACCAGTACTGCGATGAGCAACCCGTCCACAGCCGCAAATGCGGCATCTCGCTCCTCCTCCATGAGCAAAGCAGAAACCGGTGCTTCCTGGCAACATGTAAACAGCAGTTGTGATGATACTCGAATAGCCGTTCGCACCTCTGGCACTCTTCGAACAACCAGTGAATTCGCAGCGACGTCCTCCACCGTGAGTAACACACTTGTTACTGCGGCCTACTGCCGACCTAGGGCAACCTGGGAACTGGCACCGCCTGCCCCCACCGTGGCCGATACAGAGATTCGTTGCTCCTTGGGCAAAGCGAGTACAACCACCTGCAGCGAACTCTAATCTGTACGTTGCTATGAGTAACATCACACAATTAACCGAAAACAGGGCTGATGTCGAACACAGGTCAAATGCAAGACTTGAGTAGTCGCGAAATCACGACCCCTTCCCACACTATACAACATTTCGGCTTCGCCAAGTTGACGACAAAATCTTTCATCGGTTACTTTTTTATAATTCAATTCCGCTCCAGACTTCGAAAACTTGAGCATTCATCCGACAGCAATTGTATAAAGTATGCTACTCATTTTAGCCATGCCGAAGTTTCTTACCTGGATGCTGGCAGAGCTTCCCGTTGCGTTTTCTCTTCGATCCCTTGGGAGGCCGCACTACACCCTCACGTGGGGAACTCTGAAATGGTAAACTGACGCTAGTAATGGAAACGAATCTACCTCCGTAGTGCTACTGCCCGAGGTGGAGCATGATCTTCTGCTGGCCATCCGAAATATAAAAAACTACTCGACACCGCATATTGAATTCACTGAACACAGCACACGGAGAGACTACGGGACAAAACGATAGTACCGAAACCGTAGGAGAGCATCGTGAACCAACAGCCCATGAAGTACAGGCTTGGGGTCTGTATGTGGGCATACGCCCTTGGCCATTTACCACAGAAAGTCATCTGTACCATCACAAAGACAACTTCTGCTGATGCCTCCTCGATTCGAACTAAGGGGATAAGGGGCTTGATTAACTACTTCTACCAGTGGGGCGATAGGCCTGGCCATTTGTGGCGCATGTTGTTTTAGACCACTGATAGCATACAATAAGTCTAGGGATCGCATAGTATAGGAGTGGCGAGACAGCAGCTCGCCACATAGTAAGATGATTAGTTTTTAGAGGACTTCGAACCAGCAGTCCCAAAATGAGATACAACAACAACAGTGTAGTTTCCAGGCAAGTCCGACTATACCCAGCAGTGGAGGTACGCATATAGGAGGTTGACATAGCACCACCTCACACAGCCGAGTAGGTCTGCTCATATGACCACGTTTCCATCGACACAGCACAACGAGAGGTGGTAAGAGGAGAGACAATAACCCTGATGAGTGATGAAGGACGGCTTCCGGAAAAACATCACAACTGCCTGGTCACCAAAGGTGAGGATAGCGGACCATGCTGAATACTACACAGCTGGTTGATCTCTATTATGATGCCAACACTGTGAGATGTAGCATTTAGATACAACAATTGTAGGGGAAACATAAGGGGTGACAAGCCAAGGCATCGCTTATCGTTGCATACACCATCACCGTCCTCCACAAGGGATAGCATAACAACAATATCAATGCACAGTTACAAAGAAAATAGTAGGTTCACAGAAGAATAGACAAACAAGTGGTAACGATATACGGATGACAAGATGATCAATGTTTCGCCCTACGGGAAAGGCTCCAAACCCAGCTCTCATACTGGCCTGCTTCCCACACAGCTGCGCTCACAAATCCATGAAGTATCAGGGAATAAGTCTAGGTATACAATGGGTGCCAAAACGACGCAGCTGAGATGAGATATGCGAAGACCAAAGAGCTAAAAGGCCACCATACTACAGGGCCATACCATAATACTTCTACTTTTGTACAAAAAAGCATAAGTCCAGACACATATACTTTCTACCATAGACTACTACTATTTCAACTACCAAAAAGTCAACAAAAACTCCCTACAGTCTACAGACAAAACTGAGAGCACAGGAGAGCTCATGTGACGTGATCCGAGGTTGAAACGCACAGCCGATGAGGGATACTCAGTAGACTGCCGCGTTTGAGGGTAAGTCGAATGATATACAGCAAGTATACACCAATGGAAAACTAATCGTTAGTAAACCTGGGAAGAAGAATAGTAGACTACTACACCATAGTAGAAAGGAATAACCAGATGAGATGAAGTTGCACACTATAGCCTGACGACCAGGACGACACCTAAGCATCATAGTCAAAACCCGTAAGTAACCGGTCGCCGTAGCAGCCATGTGTGCAGCAAACAACAGCAGTAGTCAGCAATGAAAGCAATTGCTGTGTTCGCTCTTGTAGGGACAAAACATCGACAAACTTATGAGAATCACGACTATCGAAACCATGTTGGAGTCTCGAATGTGAACACGTCAACTCGGACGTGCATCTGCGAGACTCCCTAGGGACAAATATCTACATAGAGATCAAAAAGCTGTTATTATCACCACTCGTGATAGCAGCACAGCAACCAGCCAAACATCTCTGGCATAACACATCACCAACATTCGAGACGGTATTCTGGCAACCAATACACTGAGGGAGCTCTCCAGGCGGGGCCGGTGAGGGAAATGCGGCAACCGTCGGTGCACCTCGAACCATCTCAAAGGGTGACCTGGGAAAGTTCCTCTCAAGTTCAGCCTGCTCTTCCTCAGGATCCGAATCAATGATATCGTGAGTCAAGGAAGAAGGCAACAAGTTAGCCGGCGAGGTCCCAAACTCGTCCGTCTCGCACAGTTCCTCTTCAACAGGGTCGGAAGCTTTACTCCAATTGAAAGTGGCGGCGTGCTCAAAGCCATACGGAGATGACGCCAAGGTGTTAGAGCTGTGACTTCCCGTCATGCGGCTGTCAAACTGCGATACCTCGGAACGTGGACTACTCTCTGCAACGGACGAGACGGTTGAGTCCGACTTGGGCGGCGATCTCAACTCAGCCTCTCCATGAGCAAAGCTGAGAACAACAACACCGTTGAGACACCCCTATAGAAAGCCATAGTGCTTACCGGCATTTAGATCCATGACTACAGTGACCACTCAACCACCATATGCACATGACAGTTTTCTCAGTAGCCCTCAGTTCAGCAGCCGAATGAGCGTAGGTGCATGCAGCTCCTTTATTGCACTTACCTAAAATCAGATGCCTCAGTAGCTCCGACAGTGCCGCTGACATGACAACTACCTTGCCTATACAGTCTGCACAAACTCGTCTTCTTAAGATTTGGTTGTTGTTGCAACTCCGAGGTGGAGTGAGCGAAGAAACACTTGGAACCATAATGACAACGTCCTTCCAGATAGAGACTGCATACCTACAAAGAGGAACTCAATTTCCATATTCCCAAGTTCTTCCATAGATATTACCTTAGTCTTCAACAGGTGTTTGCTAAGGTCCACGGGACGCAACTTTTTATTGTCGTTTCCCTCTCCATGACCTCTTCCCTTATTGCTGCCATGAGCCGGAGATGGTCTGCTTGACGGCTCTGTAGCTGATCTCCTCATCTGTGTAGCAGAAGGCGAGTTAAGATCAGAGCTCAGCTTACAGGGCGACTGTCCCAGAACAGACGATGACGACATTATTTGATAATCACACTACTGTTAATGATCGTTGACAACGATGTAATTCTCGCGATTTCCAACCATGATAGCGCACAGTTTTCACACCACATAGTACTACAGGAAGGGACATACGACACAACGACTGAGCTCCAGTAAATTGAGCATCTACAGAGCTTAACCACTTTCGCAAGGATTCTCCATACTCTCAAGGTATCTATCAGATATCCCTTCTCGTTGTAATCAGCTTAAAAAGATCGACTGGTCTCTGATATAGCTAACGCAACCTGCACGCCACAAAGCATCGCTCCGCTCACAAAAAAAGCGCACGCCCGAATTAACTAACTAGACACGCCCTCATCAACCGAAGAGGTAACGATGAAACAAGTAACTGACGTGGTTTGAGTAGCAAAGCATATAGGCGTATGCTGGTTTTATTCAACTCCTCCCTCCTAGTTGGAACTTCTTCCGGCGCTTCTTCATAGCCAAGGAATTGACCTTAGGTTGACCAGCACGGTCACTGTGACCACCAACATGCTTGCGATGACGGATCTTCCACAGCTTACGACCAGAAATAGGCGCCAACGATTCAACGTTCACACCAACTGAAACACATAACGCACGTATACCACACCGGGACGAACTAGAAGCGAACCCACCATTAGAAGGCTCCTTCCGTAGCATCCGATCTCGCATGCTTCCTGTTAACAGACGTTTCCTGGTCGACTCAAAGGTCTTCAACGGATCGGATGATAACTTTCGCTTCATACCTATTGGAACCATCTCACCTCCAGTTCCCCCCTCAGAGCTTACCTTTCCCCTTCTTCCCATCTGTGCTATTCCCCTTGCCCAGAGCCGCCAACTTCACTGGATTGGACCCATCACCGTCCTCATCTAAAGAGTTGAGAAAACTCTGCGGTACGAGGTACTCAGGGAGGTCCTTCAAACTCTTCTTGATAGTCGACCCAGCAACCTGCACGCAGACACAATCACCAAATGAACACATTCATAAATCTGCATTAAGAAATTGATTCCACCAAAATGATACCGATAGTGACGCCTTCCCAGACCCCCTTATACCTTCGCATTGTTCTGCCTCAAACTCTTCCGAAGTGCCTTGGCATCCTCAGTATTCTCCTGCAGCTGTTGCTTCATCTTATCCGAGTGCAGTACCTCTCTCATGAGCTCTGATTGGCGCAGGGCAGCAACCGCCTGAAAGCACTCAGTAACAACCCCATCCTATGCTGGCGTCACGACCTTCTTCGTGATCGAATGCGACACGTCCTCGACGCGATACTTCAAGCTGTTCAGTTCCGAAATGTCCAACGGTAGTGCCTC